CGCTAAACATACATAAAAATAAAGAATTTGAGGATTTTTCTTATGAACCCAATTATTAGATTTTGACCAAATTTATATGGGACCACCCCTGCAGTATCCCCTTACTAACAAAAAACGAATTATAGAAATTGGACAAGGTGATAAAGAATTACCGCTAAACATACATTAAAACTTAAAAGTTTGAGGATTTTCTAATGGACCCAATTATTAGATTTTCACCATAATAATATGGGACTACCTCTGAAGTACCCCCTTTCTAACAATAAAAAAGAATCATTGAAATCGGACACTATGTTAAAGAATTATCGCTGAACATAGGTAAAAAAAATATTACGACGAATTGAGAACCTCTTTTTTTGAAGTCGGTTAAAAATATACAATAACAGCTACCCAAAAAGCGAATGACCGTGACTTTATATAGAGTGACGTTTGGTTATTATTATTATTATTATTATTAGGTTTTAGTACATATTTAAGTAATTAGTTATATAAACAGTTGTATACAGGATGTTACAGAATGTTGTGAAGAGAATTTAATAGCAGATTCTGGTTCATAAAAACATGCATGGAGACTACACAAGGAGCACGCACTCCATGTATAACAAGCGTTCTGTGTTAAACAGAGTATTTTAAGAAGGCGCTTACTGTTCCACATGGATCCGGAAATTCTGTCAAAAAACAATGGCGTACAGTTATTTTCGCTGAACGAAAAGACATGCCGGCACGAACGCCACTGATGTAAGCCTAGGCAACACAATTTGGTATAAATGACGTCTTTTTTTCTTACGTTGATGTACCAAAGTCGGATTACAATAAGAAGAACACCGATACGTCGTAACTATTATTACGAATTTCCAATATAAATATATTATACCTATATAACTATCAATAAATAAAGCAAATATGAGTTGTTTGTTTTAAAAATGTTATTCTTACATTTTTAAACTTCCAGTAAGCTGCGATAGCCAACTAATTACTTCACCAATTGATGACGTAGCTGTGCGTATCTTATTGTAATCGAACATTACCCAATATATTCTTGAAAATGTCCGCTCTATTCGCGATTCAAGCTAAATGATACGCCCTCTGGAGGAAATTTGTAGAAGGTTCCTATAAGTAGGATATCGTTCAGCGTTGCCAGAAGTAGCAACATTTCGCTACGTCGTCGGATTTTAGCTCTTGAAGAAGTGGATAGGACCTTTTATTTAAGAATAAAAGTTTGTGTATACATAGTAATATGAAATCATATATTTATTTAAGGATTTTTTTTATAAAACCGATTTATTATATTGATTTTTTTTTAAATTTCAGTTCATTTATTTTGTTTTCAAAATCAGTTCATCATTTGGCAACACTGGCGTTCGTGTTCATTGTTTACATTTTAATTGGTATCAATTACAATTCGAGTTTTTTCTTATTTTTTAGATTTAAATTTGTTTATTTTTTATAGAATGTGATAGTGTTTATATTAAAAATGAAATCTGCGAAAAAGTCCCCAGCAAATTGCAATCTATATGGTGTTAATGTCAAAATCAAAACTGAAGTATTCATTATTTTTCAAGTGCAAGTCGTAAAATTTTGTTTTTTACGATAAATGGATATCTACACAAATTCACAATATTGAAATTTTGCAAAACTTTGTTTATAATCAAACTGTAATATGATTTGTGACGGTTTTATTACCATTTAATAATAATAATAATATTGTTTATTTTGCAAAAAAGTACATTCATTTATCAATAATATAGTATAGTAATTAGACAAATATAAACAAAAGACAGACAAGCCCATTAGAGCCACTACTGGCTGAGCATGGGCATTTATAGTTTATTAAAATAATCGTTTTTAATTTATTTTAACTAGAGTGTAGCACCTTATAAGTATATTATAAAGTCCTATTATCTAAATAATTAAATATAGAAATTAAGATATCAATAACAAAACAATTATTAAAATATCAATTAAAAAAAAAACAGTTTAAATATAAAGAAATATAAAGAAAATACAATTAAAATATCAATAAAATCAATTTTAACAAGAACACAATTTTGGTTTTAAGCACAATAAGTGAACTTTAAAATTTCAAATAAAATATAAAAAAGAAATGAAAACCAATAGGTAAACCAAGAAGAAATATTAAAACATTTTTTTTTGTAAGGCAATGTTCGATACTATTTCATATTCAGGTAGACTATTTATATAGCTGCTAAAGGGTATAAAAAATGTTTTTTCAAAATTTATGGTAAGTATCTTACTTTGAAACCATTTTACATGTATACAGAGTACTACATAATTCACTTCATACTATAAGAATAAGTCTAGTAAGATTTTTAAATAAGTTCATCAATAATAAACGTTTGGTACCTGTAATGTCCTTTAAACCACATAATAAAACATGTCCTGGGTTTAGACAAAATGTATAAACAAAATAAATGAGAGAAGAAGAAAAGAAATTAAACTGTGTTGAAAAAAGTCATTTGTTCTAAATAGTTTGTCACGAACAGATGTAAAAAGGAGAACGACTGAATCCAAATTGTCGCAAAAAAAACACTTTTAAGTACTTTCTGACTAATGAGACTGGGCGAAAAAATACTGGTTTGCAAATGTTTTTTTTTGACGGTTATCACCTTGTCTAATTCGGTCTTTTGTAGTAGACTCCATAGCCTAGGAAGTAATCTTCTGACGTAGCTTGTTGCCCTGGGTTTTTCTTCTCCAAATGTAGGGAATCTTATTCTTGCTAGATCTTCGGAGTAGAACAATAATATTCTGCAGTTTCCTCCTCTTCTTGATAGTATTGGCACAAGGTCTCTTCTGTCTGTCAGATCGATATTATATATATGTTTGATAAGCCTACAATGCCCTGCTAATAGATATACTAGTCCTCTAGTATTTTTCCTATTAAAGGTTAGTAGATAGTCGGTGTGTTTAGGATGGTCCTTTTAAGAACTCTTTGGCCTCTTCTGGTGAATTTTCCACCACTTCTGAGATTTGCAAATGTGCATGTTCTGTTATTTGTCTTTGTGATGCTACAGAAAGGTTCTCAGCCAATAACAGCCTTTGAGACTGGATAGTAAATCCACCTCTTCGTTGCTCTTATGTACTCTGTGGCCTGGTACCCAGCCTAAGGTTAGTCTGTTTTGACTATCCATCTCTGTTTGGGCTTTCAAACAGTTCCACACAAGCTTTGAGTTTACTTACATAGAACTGAGTACTTTTAACGTCGCTCGACTGTCTGAGTATATGACAATATATGACAATGATTTTTCCATTAACCTTCTGTCTTAATACCTCTTTTTTGCAGTAATGTATTGCTGCTACTTCTGCCTGGAATACTGTGGCATGTTTACGCTTCCCTCTCTGGTATACTTACTTTATATTGCTTTTGAAAGCTATACTTTGGGAGCATTTCGTCTGAAGGCATTCCCATTATTTGGTTGTTCTGCAACTCTTTATAAAGCTCGCTGTAGTCACATTCATGCAAACTGCTTATGGGCAACGGACCTTTGTGCAGTCTATGTGACTGACCTGGCTTGAATGAATATATGTAGTGGTGTTAGGTTTAGCATGATTTCTATAGCTGCTGTTGGAATCGTTCTCATGGCTCCCGTGGTAATCTTGCTTGCCTTTGAATACCATTGAGTTCCAGTTTGTCGAGTCTTTGGCCACTATACCACCGACCCATAGGTTATTATAACTCTGGTATATAGCCATAGTGATATTTTCTGTTGTAGTCCCCAACATAAATTAAAGGACGTCTTTTGGGTGACTTTTTGTAAGTATTGATTCCATGTTAACTTGTAGTATGAGTGCTATGGTAATTTATTCATAATTATTAAGGGATGTGCATGGTTCGTAGATAATTCAGTAGTTAAATTTGACGTTTAATTTGTCTTTAGCATTTTGGTTTTAGAAACTGCCAGATCAAAAATTATATATTGCTTTTACATACAATAAAAATGCCACAGTAAGAATACTTACAGTTTTAAATTATCGGATGACAGTAAGCTTCCAAATCTAAGGAGTCTCGTACGATTTTTTACAGATTTTCATTTTGAAGGAAGACCATATTTTTTATTTCCCATTTTTTATTAATAAACACACTATCACCAACAACGATAACACATTTTTTTCAAGCTTACTCTCTTGGAAATGAAAATACTATCTATTTATATATGAACTAACAGAAATGTAAAATTAATGTGTTTGTGAGACGTATTTAATATTTCCCCTCGACCGGTCGATCGGGATATAATTTGCAGTTTTAGCGCGTTTTAACAAGTTTTTACCCACTGTTTTAACTAGTTTTTACATGCTTGTTTAACAGTTTATCATCCTTGTAAAATGCCTTTTTCCAAAATATTTTTGCCTTCTAGTACACGAGTGCCATCTTAATTTTATACATTTTGGGGGACATTTTTGAGATAAATAACCATATGAGAGTATCCTTCTTTCCTTTATACTCCAAATATTTAACGCGATCTGTCGTCATTAATTGTACGTCGAGAACGCAGTATGTTCGAGAATCCCGTATTTATTTACGAACCTGTCAATGGTTTAGCAAACAGAATGAGAATTTTTAATTAACATTGTTCGTTATAGGGATTTGATGGTTGCCTATTAGCAGCAATTTAATTTCTGTTGATATGGCATCCAGATTACAAATCTTAATGCGTTTCCGTTTCAATGATGGTAGGTGAGGTCTTCCGGGTTTTTCTCACCTCTAAATCAAATGTCACCATTAATTATCTTTAAGTCGCCCCGGAGCGACACGAAAAATAAAAATTATAATAGCACAAGACAAGATAAGTCGGCTTCAGGGGTTACAATTCACTCGTATGGAGGTGAATTAGCGATAGTATTACTATTATCATGTCATTCTTAAGAATATTTTCTTTTATCTCATTATTATTATTGACATAATGACAAACTTCAGCACTTTGTCGTACTAAAAAGTGGAGGGGCGAGGAATAATTTTTGATCATTTTTTAAAAACACCAAACGACAATATATTTTTATTTTGACTTTCTTAAATAATGAAAAATAAATGATAACGGAACAAAATTCAGAACATATTAAGGTGGTGATTATATTTTATTAATTTCCTATCAAAAGTGTATTCTTTAAATAAGAATAAAAATTTAGGTAATATAATTCAGTATACAGTAGTACATTTCTTATAATATATGTACCAAAAAGTATTCTATACGAACTTATCATTACTTTATGATAATAATAATAATAATAGATATACGTAACAATAAAGAACATTTTATATAATTTTAATTATTATAATAAAATATTTTTAAAAATAAATACATTGTATTTCAGAATATTTTGAAACTTGGTGTACGGCAGTGCCCATTTTGATGTTAGATGTTGATCTCTTCATTGACTTCTGGTGTTCAGAGTATATTTTTGTAGTTGGATAACCATTTTTGAATAGCAATATCTTCAGGTAACTAAAAAAAGAAGATAAAATTATTATAAAGAATATTTATAAAACAAGATCTAAAACCGGTATTAACTAGATAAACAATAAAAATGTGCAGAAATGCAAAATTATTTTTTGATCTAAAAAATATTGGAAAGCAGTTTTATCTTCATTGCACTTATACTTTATTAGATCCGGTATGCGTACTACACGGGCAAGAACATTTTTTATTTGCTCGTTTAGCCAACTGTTTTTATTGTCGCGACTCGGAAAACCGGAAAATATCTAGGAATTGATCTAGATAAAAAAAACTGGAACTCTCAACTGAATGAAACCACTAACAAAACCAGATAATCCTTCTGGACCCTCAGAATGATATGTACAAGGCATGGGGATCAGTTCCAAACTTATTTGTTGGTAAAACCAATGGTTATGTACGGCTCAGTTGTCTGATGGGATAAGGGACTTCAATGTCCACCACACCCTCGGCAGCCATTGAGACTATGCTAGATCTAACTAATCTTGGAATCTTCACATTCTGCTATTCTGGTATTCTACATATTCCTGATGATAGGTATTAAATGCGTGGAAGAACTGCGATTGGTCAAAAAGGGACTGTTGAGTGCAATTAATAATCACCACATTTTAGCTAGTTCCCCTATGGCATAAAAAATCATAAGACCTCCTCATTTCAGAGATATACCAATGGAGTATCCTTGGATATTCCTTTCTCCCATACACTGTACATACACGTACGGCTCCATAACTAAAAAGGTGTAGGATTGGAAGTTTTCGACAAGAAACCAAGAGTTAACATATTAAAAACCTGGGCACTTTTGCAGAAATGATCGCTGTAGAATTGAGAGCAAGAGAGTTGATCAATCTTCCTCTCGCAAACAATACCAAAGCAATTCTTAAAGTTCTGAGGTCCAACCGATTATTTGAGAATGGGGATGGAACATGCAGATGAAACAAGGCGAATTAGCCAATGGTTGAGAGATAATATAGATAATATACGTGAACGGATGTGTGTGTTTTTCAACGGAATTCAGGATAAATCTTAAACTTGGTTTTCCTGAACTTAAGATGATATTGCAAACATTTTTTGGTGTTGGTAAAAGGGTTAATATAAAAAAAATAATTGTAACCTTGAAATAGGTGTAAAATTGAATAAAAGGTCTTAAAATATTTGTATGTCTCACAACTAAGAGTATTGCCCTTCGACTATTTTGTATTTAGCAGTTTTACCCCATTCACTCTGAGTTATCGTGAAAAACTTGTCAAAAGAGTTTAATTTATGGCGAATAGGGAAAAACTTTTAAATTAAAAATGATTGCAAGGGCAATACTCTTAGTTGAGAGTCACAAACAGTTTAAAAGCAAACTTTTCGACTTTAGGTTTCGATTTTACACCTATTTCAGGTTTACAATAATTTTTTGCATATGGTTACACGACAGCCCCCACCAACTTGACATGGTACATGTTGTTCACCTCCTCCCTTACACATCTACAAATAGCAAGCAAAAAACACGACGTGCCATTTTCAGTCTGGCACTAAGAAAATGGAAGAAAGATATATGGGCTCAATAAGTATTAAAATTGATGGAAGTCAAAGACCTATATAAACATTTATATATTATTTTAGATAAGGGACATATGTTCCACCACCACATCTTTAAATGCGGACAAACTAGTTTCAGTCCATTGTAGACCAAACAGATCGAAGGGCAAGTAGAAGAAGACTGGCTACTTATCTCGGTGGCATATGCAATGATACTGAATGGTTTATCCATATTGATCATGACCATGGAAGTACAAAGCAACCACTATTACCTGGATTAACAGAACTAGTATATCTACTGAAAGAGCTAATATCGGGTATGTACAAGGCTAGCCTATCTATGCATCACCTGTTCAATGAGAACCTGTCCAACGGTTTCAATGGAGATGATTTTGAACTTCAGACTTCTACATTTAATAGTGTAGAACGTGGAACAAAAATAAGATATAGAATGATCAGAAATAGAGTAATCAAACGTAGTCTATTAGCTTTAAGACCAAAGATCCCTTCGATACGATTCGCGAAGTGAGACAGAAGTACACTTGTGTGAAAAACAGAGATAGACTGAATGTAGCTAATAATCAATTCTCTCTATGGCCAAAATCATGTCATACGAACAGGACGAATTGGAATAGTAGTGCACTGACTTGGAATCAAGTACTCTGAAAGTTTGAGCTTTTTCCAGACGGAGATTCACGTCATTGAGTAATTTATCCATTTTAAAATTGATAAAATAATTATCGCAGACAAGATATTATCATCGTCCGATACCAAAACAGCAATTAAAATGCTAAGTGTATTCATAATAAGCTAAAAAATGATCTGGAGGTATCTAGAAAATGTGAATGAGCCAGATAAGTAAATGTGGGATCTTAGCGGTTCTGAGATATCAGCAGTAGCACAATCTCAGGAGAGATTAAATAAGAATTGGGTAATAAAGTAATCGACAATTGAAGCGATCTCTTTGGGCTAAGATAGGCTAAAATACTTCTGGGCGGCTATAACGAGAAAAGTTCTTGCCTGAGTTAGAATAAGCTCGACTCAAAGGAAACCCTAGTTATCTCGGACTAGTAGAAGATAGTGAGTACATATTCTGTGAGGAGGAAGAGGATGACGAAACCTCAATACAAATTCTAATAAATTGTGTGGCACTTTATAAACCAAAGGTAATATAATTTGGGAGCTTCCAGATAGAAGAGGGTGATCTATCCAGCTTGGAACCGTTACAAATTCTAAGCTTTCTGGCAACCTGATACTACATAACAGTTGATAATATTCTGTACCTACCCGATTACAAAAAATTTTATGAATGGAACAATTCCAACTCAAATGTTATCAGAACATGAAATAAAATAAATAAAACAAAGTCATATATGACACAAAATACGAGCTACCATTTCCCTTCGGAAAACAACTTTCGCTAACACCACAACAGGTATTGAATTATATCCAAAGGAAAAACAGCAGATATATAAATTTAATTTCAGCACTCCAACTTTGATTTTGCCTACTAAGGACAATGTCATTCTTGAACAGGTTTTGTCCTTATTGAGAGTCATCAGCAAGAAATAGATATGTTCTCAATTCCAAATTCAAATGGAATTAGCAAAGGCAGCAAATTCACAAGTATACAATAACATTGGTTACGAAGAGAGTAGGTAGTCAAGTAGTGAAAATGGAAACGCCAACTACTTTTAGTAAGTAAAATCAAAAGTCGCTAATAGTACCTACTTACTTATTACCGTCATAACCAACGTTATTTTATACTAGTAAATTTGATAATTCCATTAGAGACTGGAATTAAGAACCTATCTATTTCTCGCTGACGAAATCGGTCCAAAAATGGCATTCTCCTTAGTAAGCTAAATCAAAGGTAGAGTGTTAAAATTAAATTTCCTTTGAAAATAATTCAATACCTGTTGCGGTATTAGTCAAAGGAGTAGTTGTTTTCCGAAGAAAAAACGATCGCTCGTATTTTGTGTGATTAATGGCTTTTTAATTTATTTTGTTTTACCAAAATAATAACCTAACTGCACAATTTTATTATAAAAATACCTAGTAAACCATAAAATATTTAATATAGTGTACACTTCAAGTTAGTAATTCACATTAAAAAAAAAAGCAGCGAAATTAGTCATAAACTGTTATATGTCCTTTTTACAGGATGGTGTTTTTGACCCAAAGTAAGTGTTGGAAAGTTGATCATTTGACTGATCATTACCAAAGTATATAGATTTTGTTTATTTATTTTATCAGTAGCTGCTCCAGAATCGTAATTTAGGGAAATACAAAAACATTTTAAAACATTAACAGCCGGTTGCAAGAACGTTGAGAGAAATTAATAAGCCTTATTAACGCGCTTGGGGATGAGGGCAATATTCGATAACGTTAATATTTTAAGAGGTACCTAATATTTAAAAGGGGCATTCAAAAGTTTTGAATACTATTTAAAATGACAATATACCAACTCAAAATGCTTCAGTATTACTTATAAATGTAAACGATAAATTACTCAAATAAAATTTAAATAACACGTATTTAAAACCAAAAAAACTCAGTAAAAAATATATGACGTGTTCAACATATGCCTTTTCAGTTAAGTTATCGAATATATCGAGTACGGCCCATCTAATTAAAAAGTGTTTAGAATTTGAATTAAAGATAAAAATGCCCACAAAAATCTAATCAGGTTATCGTAGGATGGATTCAAAATTTTGCGTTTTTCTACTTATCTGTTTTTAAGTTATCGAGGATACAGACACACAGTCACACGTCTAAACAGACATACGTTATCACGAAAATGGTCAAAACGTATTGAGGGTACCCTAAAATGTAAAGATCCGCGGAAAACTTGTTTTTGTATTTTAATTCATAACTTCTAAAAGATTTCTTTAAGGGAACAATTACTAAGATTGTACCACTTAAAAGCTGAGATCAGAAGACGTTTCATGGAATATCTGGATGAAGAAATAATAAACAAGAACAATAAGAAGAATAACAAAGACAAACACATGAAAGTATGAAATCAAGAATTAAGAAAACGATATCTTAAGTGAGAACAATGGCAAAGAAGAGCTCATGATTGAATAATCTTGCAGGTTAGGTACGTATTTATTCTTTTATCTATTTTTTAATTTCTCTGACAGGAATTTCATTTTAATAGCTGTTTATTTAAAAAAATTAATTCTGAATGCTCCTTGGTAGTATATCCTCAAAAATAAAAATATTGTTTTTCAGAGGATAGCTAATATTTCTAAAACAAAATTAATTGGTCCTGATAATAAACAAAATCTGTCCAGCAGTTTTTACATTTTTTGCCATAAGCTGCTAAGCCAAACTCCAGTAGCGTAGCTTTAGAGGTGCGAGGCGGCTATTCAAAAATAACTACTTACTTAAAAATAAAAAAGTAAATACGTAAATAAATACGTCTTACGCCATCATCTTTTTGAGGAATGCTGTAAATTGCCAAAAAAATTATTGTATATTAAGTCTAGATAAAGATTGTACCCTACAGATAGGTAGTACTTAGTTATTTTATATTAGTATCAAAAATAGTATGCTCATTATAATCTAAAATCTACCATCAGAATGTCATATGATAATAATAAAAAAATTATAATGAAAATGAGTAAAATTAAGTCATCAAAATAAGCAAACATAAATTAAGACATCTTTCGACTTGTAATTAGATTTAATGTAAATTATGTTGTAATTTCCTGTAAATAATGAATAATTATGTCAGTAACTACGAAAATAAATTTGTGTGACGAGTGCATGCCAAAAACGTTTTTTTTTTTTTATTAACTCTAATTAAGATTTCATTGGAAATATAGTTATTTTTTGTAAATATGTTTAATTAAATCTTAAATATATTGCCAAGTAATATGTTCATAATTATTATCGAGTATTGAAAATTAATGAAAAGATATGTAAACACAAGTTGTAATATGTTAACATAATTTATTACTCTCAAGTTGTAATTTGAAATTATTTTGATGTAATTTCCTGTGGATAATTAACAAGTTTGTTAGTAAATACGTAAATAAGTTCATCTATCATATATACAAACAACAATTTGAGGAATGCTTGCCGAAAAAAAAAAGTTGGATATTGACTCTAATTAAAGATTTAATTTAAAAGATAGTAATTAGTAATTTTATAGATATGCTAAATTGAATTTTAAAAATATTGCCAAAATGTCCATAATAATCTACTATTGAAAATAAATGAAAAAGTAAGTAAAGAAAAATTATAAAGATATGCCATTTTAAGTTAAAACATCTGTCAACTTTATTTTGATACTATTTCCTGTTACTAATGAATAGTTTTTTGAATTTGGCAATAGTCCTCGACATATTATCATTAGGTTAAGACTTTTGGTAAAACGCCAAAAATTGTGACTGAATTTTCAGACGTACACGTACAAAATAATGTCTTACTGAATCACTAAGAACGCTGTTATGATTTTATTTTGAATTTTTAAATGTCTACTTGTCAATATTTAAAATTAGTAAAATTGACTATTGAAAATTATTTTTGATCGTATGAGTGAAAAATTTCAATACAAGGCGTTGACAAGTACTGAAAAATTAATAAGTAAATTCATTGATTATTAAAGGACCAGAACTTTTTATATTGATTTTTGGTACTGTCAGAATTTGTTCAAACTTAAGTATGTTATTTTTTAGGTCATTAAAGGCAACTTACTTACGGATCCTAAGTTTGTAGCTCTACAGGGTGAACTGAAGGAGTCATATATATTTCTAGCACTCTTAAGTAATTCATGTTTTTTCCATAACACTTATGTAATATATTAATATACCATAATACTTATATATAGTTAATTCATACTTAGATACTTGTACTTTGCAAAATATATCATACAGCGTGTTTAAAAAAATCAGGAACATCAATTACTGATTTAAATTATTTATTGTTTCGGCCTTTACTTGATGAAAATCCATTTAATTTTGAAAGAGTAAGTTGTACTTCGAAACATATGTCATGTTAGTGTTTTTTTTTTTAAATTTTTATTTTTAAAATAAAAGTGTGAAAATCTACCAAATTTGGTTTTACTCTTTCAAAATCAATTACTGAAATGACTTCTGATCACTTTTTGTTGTATTAAATACTAGAATTTTTTTATAAATATATAATACAGGGTGTGATAGAGCTACGTCAACAATTATTAAATATAAAAGCGCTTCTAATGAAAAACTTGGTAAGTACACATATAATATTGTAGAAAAAAATCTTAAAACTAAAACAATGTCGCTAGTATTAAGTATAATAATTATAGCTCTATTTAACTAACAGAAGACATATTCTAATTAAAAAGTAAATCCTGATATTTATAATAATGTCAGTGCCATTCTCACTCCTTCATATACTTTTATTTTTTAAAACTAGGTATTTCATTTTTGTAAATTAACTTTTTTCAATCAAACCTAGAATGCTATGAAACAAATTGCATTGACTGACATTTTCCAAGTATACCTAATACTTGGTGGTATAATATTATTTTCATTGAAAATATTATTTGGTTTCAATAATTAAAAAAAATATAGTCGGTGTGTTATTTGTAACGCAACTTTTTCAGTTTATTTTTTAATTGAAGATTGTATGTAATAAAATGAAATAAAATTCTGTTTCCTTTATATTAATTTATAATTTAGTGGGAAACCTAAAAATGTACGTAAACAAATTGTTTCTTAACCAAATATTATTTATGTATTTCTGTCACACTTTGTGTTACTTATAAAAAATTATTTAGTAATTTTTACAACAAAAAAATGATCAGAAGTCATGGTAACACATGAAAATTCACTTTATTTCAGTAAATATTCCTAGTTTTTTTGAATACCCTGTATGATTCATTTTGCAAAGTTCAAGTAAGTATAAACTAACTATTAACTGATATAATTTTTATGAAAAAAAAAAAAAAAAAAAAAAACATGAATTATTTAAGAGTGTATATATGAAAATATTAATTCTACCTCCTTACTTTGAACTATTTCTAACAGATTTTTAAGAGCTGTAAACTTGGGGGTCATAAGAAAGTTATCTTTAATGACCTAAAAAATTACACTTAAATTTGAACAAATTATGAGAGTATCCAAAATTAATATAAAAAGTGCGGGGTCCTTTTAACTAAATTTGCATTTAATTAATTAAAAAATAGATACTTACGTTCGTAAGGGATGTAACCGTCATCATCTTCTTGGCCCATACAGTCGGCTAAAACTTCTTCTGTTTCGGGATCTGTTAACCTTTCACCTAAAAAAAATAAAAATTCTATCAAGAAAATTCCTAAAATGTTTTCAATAATCATGATAAATTAACGACCGTATATCATAGAATAGCAAAAATATTTTACTCATAACAATAAATTAAATTTAAAATTAATTTGAGTCAAATATAACATCTCGTATTTTTAGCTGAAGGGTGGGAACCTCAGAAATACAAACTCTCCCGGCTCTATGAGAAGAAATAAATTAATCTTAGTGTGTGTATCGGAGGAACATAGGGCAGGGAATAAGTAAAGCAAAATAATAAGGATAAAGTGCAAATCTTATGAGTGCCGTTGGTAACTGACTAGGATAGAAGTAGACCATAGGATAATAATCAGATCAAAAGACAAAATAATGCCATATATGATGAAACCAAGCTAAAAGCTGAAGAATGTAAAAGTCAAAATAAAACTTGCACACATTTTGGAGAAAAAAAAAATTATAAAAATCCAAGTTAATAAAAGTATAGAGAATTGTTATTAACTCGTAAGAGAGAGAGAGGAATTTAAGACAGCTGAAGTTTTAGAAAAGAAAAAATTGAATTCGTAAATAGAGGTATACTGGATAATTCAAAGGAACGAATCAAAAAAGAAAACATTAGGAAACGAAACAGTGTATAAAAATCTAAGAGATTAATAACAGAATAAATAAATAAAGCAAGGTGTAGGAGCACTCAACACAGTGGTAAAGTCACGAATGATGTCAAGAAGGGAGAAAAAAACACTACATAAGACCAGTGATTCTTTATGAATGCAAGATTGCAAAAAAAACAAAAAAAAATGTGGATGAATAGAACAAATAAAAATAGAGGAAAATGTATGATAGTTCCCTAATAATATCACTAAAAAGCAAATAAATTCTGGTTGTTTGAACACATAGGAAGAATACCTGAAGCGAGAACAACAAAGAACGAACTTAAAAAAGAGTAACGGAATAGAAACGAAGAGAAAGAACTATAAGAAAATGATTAAGGGCGGTAGAAGAAGTTCTAACAAAATTAAATGTCATAGACTGGAAAAATAGAATGCTACATAGGAAAGATTGAAGAATCATCTGTCAATAAGCAGTGGGCTTACAAGAATTGTAGTGTTTCAAGATATTTATTATATGAACCATCGAGGGAAGACTTTGATGTCGAAAGTCAATTAGACAAAGTGATCTAACCAATGATAAAGAATAGTTAAAATAAAAAATCTGATGTATCCAATACATAACTTTCCTGTCTCACTTAATTTTTTTATATAAATTCATTGCCAACGAGAATACGGAAAAATTAAAATTTTCCACTTTTCCTCAAATGTTTCCATTACGGCCCATTTTTGAGAAATCATGTATGGAACACAAATTATAGAGAATTATATCTCAAACAACTTTTATTTGAAGAATTGTCTTCTCCAATCGTAAATAACAGATATTCTTTAACCCCCTACAAAGTACCCCCTAGATGCTTCGACTATACCCAACATTTAATCAGCTTACCTCAGAAAATTTAGCGTTTTTCCCTTTATTATCCGTTTTTAAGTTATTGTGGATACAAACACACACAGACATCATCGCAAAAATAGCCAAAACGGATTCAGGGGACACCAAAATATAAAAATCCGTCGAAACCTCGAGGTCAAAAAAATTATGATTCCTTTATGTTCCTTCTGTATACAGACAGGAGAGTAATATAGCAGTGTAGCTAGTGGATAAGAATTTGACAAATCTACAAAACAAGGACAGATCACCAACTTTACATTGGTGCATGAGGGGTGAGATTAGTGTTGCCAATTAAGCTAATATCTCTTCTTTTAAATGATATCAAGAATGAAAGGATCCTAATATTGGTACAGTAGCTCTCCAATTGAATAGAAGGCATTGCATATTTTGTACGTAAAAAAAACACAAGGTTAACTGATAGAAAATATAAGTAGTCCTTGCTTAAAGAGATAAACCTAATATTAATATTAATAATAAACTAGTTTAAGTTTTCGATTGATAATAACTAATTTGCTCTGCTTGAGTTGATCAGGTTCCCGACAAGGGTGCACTTCAGCTACATGTGTTTATTATTGAACCGTAGTGTTCTATTCCTTCCTATTTATTCAACATACATTCCAATTCTACGAGCTTGGTCACCCATCCAAACGGTTAACAGGTTCACGATTAATATAGAGAAGCATTAGCTGAGCTTTATGTTTCTGATGCTTTGAAATGCATTGAGTCACTAGTTGGTGATAATATTAAAATTATCATTGAGCATAGCATCAAATTATTTTGGAGACATTAAACGGTCTGATAGTATTTTGTTATCAGAATCACTTTAAAAAGATAGCAATTGCGGCTACTGGCGTCTACTCAGAGAGTTTTCGTCCTATACAGAATAATTAGTAAATTGGTACTTTTTTAGTTGTGTCTAGAAGTCATTAAAATAAACAACATTTATAAAAAAACTCAAAAATATGAAAGATAAAATGAAAACAAAAAATCAGGATATAGGTCTGGTGACCTAGGTGGCCATGGACTGATCCATTTCGATCGATCCACTTATTTGGGAAAGAAATGTCTAAAAACTTCCAGACTAATGACAGGCCCGGATTTGGATTTTTAATTATGTAACGTTCTTTCTTTCTTTCTTGCATGGCCACCGAGGTCACTAGATGTAAATCCTTGTGAAAAAGTTATTTGTGAATGTATATTTTAATGACTTCTATACACAATGATTGATAAGGAATGCGTAATCTATAAATTGACACATTTTAACAACTTATAACTCGAAAACGGAAAAAGATATCGAGATGCAGTTTTCACTAGACCTTTAACATTTACTTCATATTTTTCTTGACATTGTTGTCACATGTAATTTTTTTCTGGAAAGTGCCGAAAAAAAAAACGAGCTTTTTTGAATCAAAATTGTGAGCTTATTTTAAATAGAACACCCTATAATTTTTAACATCCTCGGAAAGACCATTTCTTTCTCTTTCCAAAAATGTATTCATTGTAAGCATTTATTCAATTTTTTTGGGAAAAAATTTACTTTTTTATGAAACCATGTCGATAACTTCTAAATGTAAAGTATCACAATTTAAAAGCCTTTAACTCAATAATGTGACAATTTATTGATAATAGGTTTTGACTAAAATTCTGGGAAATGTTTAATTTTTTTATAAAATGGTTGTAAAGTCTCAAATGTCTAAAATTTTCGTAAAAGATTACTTTTACCAATTCAGATTAAGGGCTTATGATGAATAAAATTCTTCCTATTTGTAACGTTTATTTGCAAGCCTTTATCCATAAATCATCATTTAAAAGAATGTCTTAAGCGTTTTCAATATGTACCTATATCTGTTTTTTTTGTCTATTTAATATTCCTCTTTTTGTAAATTAACTTACTCAGCTTTGGATAGAATATGAATGAGTCAATAAATGATACTACTAATTTATCAAGGGTGCTATGTAAAACAAATCGAGTTGATAGAAGTCTATATTTGTATTAATTAGTGCAAGAGAAAGCAGGTATTAAAAAATGTTTACCAAAAGTGAAAAAGCCCGGTGCGTTTTACTTTATATTGAAAGTAGATCAATTACACATACACAAAGAAGATTTAGAAATATGTTTGAAAAAAATTCGCCAACCAGAAATTCTATTTTAAACTGGGTAAGTCAGTTTAAAGAAACGGGAACATTAGATAGAAAAAAAAGACAAATTGAAAACGCTCAAGATATTATTTTAAATGATGTTATACAGATAAGGGAAATTTTAGCAAGAAACAATAATAAAATATCTATTAGAAAAATTGCCCAATCCATACATATGTCAAAGAGTAAGGTGCATAAAATTTTAAAAGTAATCAAATTTAAAGCATATAAGGTTCAGACTTTTCATAAAATTGAAAATCATGCATTTGAAAAGAGAGTTTTTATGTGTAAGACGTTAGTAGATTTATTTAGACAACCAAATGTAAATCTAATAATGTCAGATGAAGCCACGTTTCATTTAAGTGGACGCGTAAACAAACACAATTGTAGGATTTGGGGTGACGAAAATCCTAGAGCTTTCAACGAGTTTGAAAGAGATGCTCCCAAGGTAAATGTATGGTGTGGTGTGTCCAAAACCAAAATTTATGGACCATTTTTCTTTCAAGAGAAAACAGTATATGGAAACAATTACACGGATATGCTAGAACTATTCTTTTATTCTCAACTAGAACGGGAAGAAATACTAAATACTGTATATTTCCAGCAAGATGGTGCTCCACCGCATTACTCTCTTGTAGCCAGGAATTCTTTGAACTCAACGTTTGGAGATAAATGGATAGGTCGGGCTGGTCCCATCGAATGGGTTCCATATTCTCCGGATTTAACTATACCAGATTTTTTTATATGGGGGTATGTTAAGGAAAGATGCTACGATCCAACACCTACAAACTTAACTGAACTGAGGAATAATATAATTCATGTGTTTAATACAATTACCCCAGAAATGCTGCAAAATGCATTTACAAATTTTTTAATGCGTCTGCATACATGTATTGAACAAAATGGAGGCCATATTCAACAATTAATTTATTAATGTTTTAGTACATATTTTTTGTATTCAATAAAGTTTCAGATAGGTACCAACATGGTGGGACACCACTTACGCCACAAAAATCCATGTGGTATGAGGTGCTCCCCTCTGTCTTTATAAGTAAAATATCATTACTTGATATTATTCTGAAATTTATACCTAAGGGACAAGGCAATGAAAAACAGTAACTTATCAATGATCGTTCGATGTAAAACGTCAATTTATATTTCGATATGTGCCACCAAAATGTAATAGACACCGTTAACATTGATTTAATTACCTAAAATTAAAACCTATTAAAGCAATAAAAAAACTATAAAAAATTGACTTTTTTTAAAAGGCGAAGAAATAAACCATCTAATGACTATGAGAGATACGAAATGTTTCATTCGCCATAAGACCTTAATCTGAATTTAATTTTTTTTTTACGAAAACTTTACAAGTTTAAGATTTGGCAACTATGTCAGAAAAAAATTTAAACATTTCTAAGAATTTTGGTGAAAACCTTTTATCAATACATTGCCTTACTCCCAAATTATAAGTTAATTAATTGTGATACTTTACGTTTGGAAGTTATTGACATGGTTGCATAAAAAAGTGAATGTTTCCCTAAAAAATAAAGTAAATGCTTACAATGTATACATTTTTGGAAAGGGAAAGAAATGGTCTTTCCGAGGATGTTAAAAATTATAGGGTGTTCTATTTAAAATAGGCTCACAATTTTGGTTCAAAAAAGTTCGTTTTTTTTTCGGCACTTTCCAGAAAAAAATTACATGTGGCAACAATGTCAAGAAAAACTTGAAGTAAATGTAGAAGGTCTAGTGAAAACTGCATCTCGATATCTCTTTTAATTCTCGAGTTATAAGTTGTTAAAATGTGTCAATTTATAGATGGACACCCTGTATTTTACCTAGAAATTTTATAGCGGGAAATATAAATTTTATGCTTAACATCTAGGAATCAAATATTAGGGCGGATTCTGACAAATCAAAATAGCTTATGCCTCTATGCGAACCAAAAATGCTTATTTGATTTATTCGCGTCAAAATCCCTAATTGTACCTATTTTTATTTTTCAGTAAGTATAAGGTTTGTTCCAACAACAATTTTGGGACCATACATAAACCAGTCCACAACTTATTGTCGACGACTGATAGTCGACGACCTGTCCACGACCTGTCGAGGATTGGGACGCGATTCGGAACTTGGATGTGTTGGAACCAGTGTTGCCAGTCTAGTACAATTGTACTAGATCTAGTACATTCTCTGATAATCTGGTACTCTAGTACACTCGAAACAAAATCTAGTACTTTTTTCAGCGTATGTTTACATTTGAAGTGTAAAATGTATTGGTCAAAAATTGCAAGAGAAATTAAAATAGGTGTTAAGAATTTCTTCAGAGATAAAATAGTAGACATTTCTCGAGAGATAAAACATTGTTTAAAAATTGCACCAGAGATCAAATATTGTTCAAAAATGCCTTGAGAGGTAAAAAAAAGGGTGTTAAAAATTGGTTAAAGTAAGTAGTATTAGAAAATTGCTCGAGGTAAAATAGTATTACAAAATGTTAAACCCTTGTTCAAAAATTGCTCGAGGGATAAAATACTATTGAAAAATTTGTTGAGAAATAAAATATTGTTCAAAATCGACTCAAGAAATACCTACTATTAGAAATTTCTCGAAAGAAAACATTATTTAAAAATTGTTAGGAAGGTAAAAAATTTTAATAAAAATTGCTCGAGAGATAAAATAGTGTTAGAAATTATTAAAATTTTGCTCAAAAATTTCACGAGAGATCAAATATTGTTCAAAAATAACTTGAAAGGTAAAAAAAGGCTGTTAAAAATTGCTCGAGTGATTAAATAGTGTTCAAATTGTACAAACATTGCTCGAGGGATAAAAAAAGGTTGTTAAAAATTGCTTGAGAGATAGAATACTGTTGGAAATTTATCGAGAGATAAAATATTTTTTAAAAATAGCTCAAGAGATAAAAAAAGGTTTTTTTTAAAAACTGTTCAGAAGATAAAATATTATCATAAGGTATTAAAATCTTTTTTAAAAATTGCTCGAGAGATGAAATAGTGTTAGAAATTGTTAAAATTTTGCTCAAAAATTGCACGAGATCAAATATCGTTCAAAAATAGCTTGAAAAATAAAAAAGGCTGTTAAAAATTGCTTGAGTGATTAGTGTTAAAAATTTTACAAGAAACGTTGTACAAACATTGCACAAGGAATAAAAAAAAGTTGTTAAAAATTGCTCAAGAGATAGAATACTGTTGGAAATTTATCGAGAGATAAAATATTTTTTAAAAATAGCTCAAGAGATAAAAAAGGTTTTTTAAAAACTGTTCGAGAGATAAAATAATATCAAAAGGTATTAAAATCTTTTTCAAAAATTACTCGAGAGATAAAATAGTGTTAGAAATTGTTAAAATTTTGCTCAAAAATTGCACAAGAGATCAAATATTTTTTAAAAATAGCTTGAAAGATAAAAAAACTGTTAAAAATTGCTCGAGTGATTAAATAGAGTAAAAATTTTACATTGTTCGGAGGATAAAAAAAAGTTGTTAAAAATTGCTCGAGAGATAGAATATTGTTTCAAAATAGCTCAAGAGATAAAAAAAGATTTAAAAACTGTTCGAGAGATAAAAGAGTATCAAAAGGTATTAAAATCTTATTCAAAAACTGCTCGAGAGATAAAATAGTGTCAGAAATTTGTCGAGACATAAAATATTGTTTAAAATTGTTGTGTTCGTGTTCTCTATAAACCTTTTTTTGCTCTTTAATGACCATACTTTATATTTAGAAAAATCTGGTAATTTTACAGAATCTAGTACATTTTTATGAAATCTGGTACATTTTTTAGATAAATCTGGTACATTACAAAAATATATTCTGGCAACACTGGTTGGGACACATTTTTGTGTTGTCAGACACACTCTGTTAATAACGTCAAAGTAAAGGCAAATTTAACAAATGTAAAATTTTTAATTTGGGGAGTAAAAAAATTATAAAACTCATGAAAAGATTTATAAATTTTGATTATTTGATTTTTAGAGTTGGTGGTGGTTTATTTACGAGCTCACTTTCGTTTTGCGCATATCTTGACAATTCGTTCATATTCACACCCAGGAACTGATTTGACAGTACAGAAACTGGTTTGTGATTAGGTTTGGGTGTGTTGGAACACTAGGTTTTTGTACAGTTTTGAGTCCGAAGTTTGTTGGAACACCAAATCTAGACTGCGCAGAATCCCGACAGTACGGAAACCGATTTGCTATTGTGTTGGAACAAACCTATTATAACCATTTGTTCTATTAAAAAAAATAAACAAATTTAGAAAAAGATGATTTAGTTACTTACCAAGAGAAAGGAGTGTGTGGGCAAGTTCAGCAGCCATCATTCTGCCGTTTTCTTCTTTGTCGTACAATTTGAGACATTCAAGGAAATCGTCGAAGTTACCCTGTTCTTTGTCTTTTTTAACTTGACTATAGATTGGGAGGAATTCATCTACTTTAAGTTTCTTTTCATCTGAAAATATAAAAATAAATAATAAAAAAACAAAAATTATATTACTTTCTTTTAAAAATACAAGAAATATAATGGTTTCTATATTTCATATTAAATTAGTTTAGTTTAAAACTCTCTATGATTATTACTTTTGTTTAGAGACAATTATTATTTAATTTCCCAAGTAGAATGTGAAACATACATCAAAATATTCTAGGCAGGAAACAAACTCTAAAACTGTTATAATTTGCAAACCGTATATATGGAAGATTTGATTACCTATTTTTAAATCATGGTACCAGAATGTTAGAAAAGCATCTGTCTTACCAAAAAGTATAGGAAAAATACAAGACGTTATTTGATAATTAAAAATTTTTTTGGGGTTTCCATGAGAGACAGGAAAAGAATAATACATAAAAGTTTAATTTCTAAATCAATTTTTATCTGTACACAGTTTTAGGATAAATTAAGTATTTTAAATAAGTAAATTTTATTGTTTCTTAGCGTCAGTGGATGATGTAAAACAATTTCAGAAATAACAATTTGAATTTGAAGAAAAATTAAAAACGGTTGTTACATTTTATTTTCAAAAATAGAATAATGATTTACTCACTCTTCTTCTTGGTTCCACCGACTTTTTCAATTGTGACCAAAGTTGGGTTAAGGTTAAGGGCTCTGAGCATGTCTCCCAAATTAACAGCATCGACTGTGCCAACTCCTTCAAAGTCGTAGATGGAAAAAACAAAGTTGGCTCCTGAAAAATATAATAAAATTAATATAAGTATATTCGACTCCACAGTGGAAATTTAAAAAGTAAAAGTAAAATTTTTATTTAACCTATCAAATATGGTTATTTTTACATTTTGAGTTTGTCAAGTAGACTTTTAAGATGTCACGTGTACTGTTTAGGAAAAAGTATAAAGCTACACTCTATAGGTAAAAGTTAATTCTTTTATATTCAAGGCATTTTAACCATACTTTATAGAAAGCTTGAGGTAAATGCTACATAGAGTAACACTAATGCGCAGATTTTCTTTTATTTCAATGTTTGTACTAGTACTGATACTACAAGTACTACAAGTACTACTAGTACAAATAGTTTTTACTAGTTATTCTATGGAATTGGTCAATGCTTGTTCCTAAATATAAATTGTTTATCTGATATTAGGTTTTTAAAGACTATACAACTGCACTTCATCAGGCTGCTTTCTTAGAATTTATAATTTCTTTGATATTATATAATTAGTGTAGTGTAAGACAGAAACCGTAATTGGATCTTCTTAAGGCAATCTGCTCAATAAATTGGTCAAATCTTTCGTTCCACCAACGTATAAGTTTCTGACTACTTTATTATGTTTCTAACCCTTCTCAACATTTAATATAGGCTTCTGTTTTAAATTTCTATTTAAAAAGCCGTTGGTATATCTCTAATTGTTTAATTTTTCAATGTTTTTTACTGCCTGCAAAATCATCATTCTAACTCTTGACATTCTTAGTACTGTGGCATACACATTTTCAATGTGTTATGTTAATTTTATCAAAAAAACAACAAATTAGAATTTTTAAATAGCAAATGCGAAAATTTAAACATTTTTTTATATATCAATCTCAAATAATATTTTTAAAAATAACTTAGTTATACCTATGAAGACTAGAGATAAGGAAGCGAATCGGCCTTGGTCAAATTTCAAATTTCCGTCCCTATTTTTATGGAGTTTCAAAAAACTACTATAGTTGGCGGGTGGCAAAATAACGACGTCTATTTTCTATGCAAGTTAATGGGAATTAAAGTGAGTTTTGTAAAATTTAGTGAAAAGAATAAAAATAAGCTGAAATAAAGAACCAGACTACAAGTAACAATGAGTAACAAAAAACGGCAAAGCAGGATTTGCTTCATTCCGGGTTGAAAAACGAAATATATTTATTGTAAAATAGTCACAACCCGTATTTTACGGAGTGTAGTTTATTTAATTACAAAATTCTATAATAAAAAATAATAAAGTCATAAATCCTGACTTACAAACAACAATAATTACACATTAAATTTAACTTACCAGAAAAGAAAATTTTCTTTTTTTATGTTTTTTGATGTTAGATAAAAAGTTACTACTGTTATTTTTCTTTATTGAACTCCAATTTAGTCATTGCAAATATTTTTTATAGGATCCTAAACGTTTAGAACATTGGCAGAATATGATTCCTAGTGCTGATAAAGTACTGTCTAGTTATGATTCTGTTTGCGAGCTACACTTTTTAGAAAATGATACTTTAAAATTTGATGAGACTATTTTAACTAATGGCACTGTTAATAAAATAAAAAGGGAAAGGCCGAGATTAAAGAACGAAGCAATACCATGTATATTCCCGAATCTCCCTTCATACTTGTCCAGTATTAGGACAAGACGAAAACCGCCATTGAACCGAACTGAAGTTGTTAGAATAAAAAAAAGGAAGAAAATACTAGAACCTATTGCTGAAGAAATTATTCACCAGGATGATGAAATTGTAGTTGTTGAATACAAAATTACCACAAAACTGTTCTTAGCAAATTTCACCATTTTAAATTTGGTCATACCTAATTTTCATTTTATTTAGATAAAATTAAATAATGAATAGTAAATAATGTTTAATCTAAAGACTCATTTATAATTAATACCAACAGTATTTTCTGTACTTTAGGTAGCAATTAAAACAATGACTTATAATAATTATAATCAACAGTATTTTCTGTGCTTTAGTTAGCTAAAAACAATTTGATTTTTATTATTTTCATAAAATTTTGTAAAGTCTCTAACTAAATATTTTCATTTAAACCGTGTCTTAGTATGCCCTCAGCCTTATTTAGCTTTAATTAAAAATAATTAGCGCTACCAATCAAATTTCAACACTTACCATCAATAATTTGCGTTTTACTTAAACAGGAATAAATAGTAAATAATGTATCAATTAAAATATGTAAGACTTATTTAGAAATAAATACGACAGTATGTTCTGTGCTTTATTTAGCTATAAACAAGTTTATTTTTATTATTTTGACAAAATTATGTATTGGGAAAGCCATGTCTTTTGAACTATGTAAACCGTACCAGCGCCCATGCGGTTAATTATAAAAGCTTAATTGACGTGTGATTTTTGGGACCGTATTTTGAGCATGCCGATTCGCTTCCTTATCTCTAGTCTTCATAGTTATACCACAGGTAAAAATCATATTATAATATCCGAAGAATGAATAACTGCACATGGTGGGTCATGATTATTTCAGATATTTTTACATTTAATATTAAAATAAATGGACTTTATGCGCCATATTTATGCTATTTTTGACGAATACGATGTTGTCAAATTAAAAAAATAGACAATTTTTTTATAAATTTAAGGATATTTCTTAAAATTTAAAGGCATCTTTTAAAAGGTAATTTAGATGGTAAGAATATTAATGGTCGCTATAAGAAATAACGGTAGGTAACTCAAGTTAACTCAAACACTAATTAACTTTTAATTATTTTGAAAACGGATCTGAGCTCTGCATCAAATTCTCCAAAACATGCCCCATTTATTTAATTGACTTTCTATTTCTTATATTAAGCCTGATACTAAAACAAAATTTAAGTCTGAAAATACGAATTGGCAACACCGAGCTAAAAAATTTGTATTGTTATTCGAAATTAGAACTCAATTACACAAGCCCATTTCGAAAGCTGAAAGCTCATTAATGTCTGGTTATCATGTGTGGATTATATTTAAATTTTTTTCTTCATTTAAAACGATATACTGTTAAAAATAATAATAATAATACTCTCCCTGTTAGATTTGCGAATTATTTCTCTCATACCCTGTATTATTTAATAGCTCATCTATCAAAGCTAATATTTAAAAAAAAACCCACGAAGCTTCTTAATATGTATTGTAAGATGAATTAATTTTTATCAAAAAACTGCACTTCAATGTCAATACTACCCAAAAATAACTGGGTCACGATTATCAAAGAATGAGAACTACCGAAAAATTGAAGCGATCTAATTTTAGTAACTTTTATTCCCAACTTTAAAATTAGAAATATCTGGCAGCTGTTGCCTTATAAGCTGTCGACTTAATTTTAGACGAAAGGATTGCGTATCACAAAAATATTCAACTACAGTCTCAACGAAAATAGCTTTTTACTTACTTTCGATGTCTCTGGCACTTAAATCCGCCTGTAAAATACGAAAGAGAATAATTAAAAACGATTACAAACGAATTTTCTAATTTTGTTTTGTAAAAAAATACTATACTCATTATACTGGGTGTCCCACACAATTGCCTTAAAAATCATGCAATTAGAAGGTATGTATCAGTCTACAACAAGTGAAAACTTTATGATATTGTAAAAACAAAATGAGATAATTTTGATATTTAAATATTATTAATTAGAAGTAAACTTGTTTGCCACTTTCACCTTTTAAGTAGCATCTGTGAAATAAATCAGTAAGGCATCTGAACAAAAATTCTTTTATTCTACTCAGAGGTCGATATTATTTGATCCTTATTGTTTCTATATTTATTACTATGTGATTTTTTAGAATACTTTACTTCAATAATTAAGTGCATTTTCCTTTTTAATATTTCTAAAATGAAAGTGGAAATTGCATCTCTGTTTTAATAAAATCTCGTATATTTATAAAGTTTCTAAATATTTAGGGAAAAACATTTAAAAAATGATAAAAAGTATTTGATTTTGAAGGGATTCTATTAATTAAAAGCAATATTTTATGTCATTTCTTACTTTCATTTGATCTTTTCAATAGAAACTATTACATAAATCAGTATTTAACAAACATTCTGTAACTGAATTAGGCGTATTAGTCATTCCAGTGTCTTGTCCAAATGGTTGCCTGATGAATTTGGCAGAACATTGAACTAACTCTATGTAAAACTTGGGTTTGTATGTCATCTTCATCAGGAAACCATATTGTTGAGAGGTCATTGAGTTTTAAGATCCTTATCGTTTGATAATATTTGTTAATATATTCTATTTTATCAGCATTATTAACTTTGAGAGATCATGTGAATATGTGATCTACCTGAATGACATAAACTGAAAGTCTAAATATCAAAATAATGTACTATGTAAATTTGTATGTACGTTCTTGTAACCTGATGTAAAAGTATTATAAAAAATGTACATACGTTGCTGTTTTACTTTAAAAACTCGCATTACAATTACCTGTTTTTTAAGTTTCCTTTATTATAGAAATTTGACTTGAAAAAATTAAACTATAAATCCATGAATATAGTAATTAGGTATTATAGTAAAGCAACTATAGTAGGTTTCAAACCTTTGCAAACTGTGACAAAAAAGAATTCCGATTTAGTTAATTTGAAACAGGATGGTTATTTATGAGAACAAACTTGTACTTGTAATAAATGAAACTAAAGTTTACCAAATTTAATTAGTCAATATGCATGGCAATAATGATTCATATTATCATACTGGACGACTATTTCACTTCTTATTATAATTTTTATTTAACTTAAAATGTATATTCAGGTAAAGTATTTTAAAAATAAATTTTCTTGACCAACAAAAGCACATAATCTAAGTCACAATTCATTATACCTCTTTCATTTAATAAAGCATTTTGGATCACATTTGAAATATTCCTAATAAACATAATTTTGAATTGACATTTATATACATTTGAACTATTCCTACTACACATAATTTTGAATTGACATTTATATTTAAACAAAGTGGCCGACTTCCTGTCATATCGAAAATGCCATTAAGATTTAGTTTTTAAATGGCTCACCTTGTATGTTCTGTTTTTTTTTGATCCCACGGTTCTAATTACACAACATGACAGTGTTGCCAAATTTTAATTTTTACCACATTTTTTTCGAGGTTCTTAGAAGGCTATGACTGGAAAATAATATTTTTAGTGGTGGATAGCACATATTTTGATAATAAAATTCGTAATGTAATGGCAAAATGGCCTTCAATAGGTACGATTAAAAAAAAGTGAAATTTTGATGAAAAACGCGTTTTAGAAATTTATTTTTTCTCTGAAGGAAATTTAGTTCTGGTAAAATAGCCTTTCTTTTGAGTTAGACGAAGCTATTAGAATATTTTTTCCAGTTCATAGCCTTCTAACACAAAAAATAAAAAAAAATTAAAAAATCAAAAAAATATTTGAGAAAATGAATACACTGTCATATTTAATTTGAACCTTAAATTAAAAAACAAAATATATAGTCTGATACATTTAAAAATTCAAACTTAATGGAATTTCTGGTAAAACCAGAAGTCAGCAATTTGTTTGTCCCAAATTTGATACAAATTGATTTATAAATAAAATAGATATCACTAAGATTATCATCCGGTGTATAGGAAAGCAGCAACGAATTTTGGTCTCTTTTCCATAATTATTTAATATAATATTATTTAGATTTTGTTGTCTTATTCAAATAATATATTTTTTCCTGCTTTGTGAGTTTTTTGCATCTATATATTTTCTGCACCAAACCAACAAGTACAAAGTCTCCTTGTACAATGCTGCAATGGTTTTAAAGATATCAACAACTTGTTCGCCAGGATTCTTCAAAGGGTTCTGCATTTCTCCGTGCACTTTTTTTTTAAATTTTACATATTCTTGTTCTACCAATGAAAAACATTTTCTACTATTTTTGTTTCGCCAAAATCTAAGTTTTTCAGTGACTTTTTGAGTAAACAGCACGTGGATATATCCATTTTTAATAAATATGAAATGAATTAAGAATTAGGAATAATTCAAAATACTCGTTCTTAGAATAAATAGTTTTAAAAATATCAGAAACCCAAACTAATTCAATCAATTTAACTTGAACAAAAAAAAGTTTAGTAGCTTTCATACATAGTATATTTAGAGGTGTATAATCTACAATTTTATGGGTGCATATATGGCAGATATTATAATATATTAAATAAAATTAATTGATAATTTGGCTTTGGTTTTGCAGTTTTTTTAAGCTAAATATTATTTTCCTTACGTTATTAATACCTTATAAACCAAATGTATATAACAATTTGAAGAATATTAGAATTTAAATCTATATAGGACACCCAATAAATAATTTCAAATGGATAGTGATAAATTCTAAGAACTTAGAATGCAATACAAATGAGTTTATTTTCTCTAAATGTTATAACGATAATTGCCTAAATTAGATATCTATAGTATTTCTTTTCAAAACGTTCTGGTCGTTGCGTTTAATTTTAAACTAAAATTCACGTATAAGTTAACAAAAAGTAGACGTCACAGATTTAGAACAGTCTAAAAATACAACACATATTTGCAATTGGGACGATCACATGTAGCATATAATACATATTAACACATACAATACAAAAAAAAACAAAAAAATTAGCTACGTACTTCGTTTTTTGCTAAAAATATTAAAATAAAAACAATGTCACAGTTTTGGAGCAAATAATATATAATTTAAAAAATGCGAAGATTTTAAACATGTTATTACAGCATGTGTTTATTGAATCTAAATATAACTCATAGGTAATCAATACTTTTGCCAAAATATGTTTTTTAAATGGTTTGTATATTCAGAATAGTCAGATATATTACTAATAATTAAAAATAAGACATACTTTTTACACACCATTATTTAAAAAAAAATCTATCATTTGTCATTTTAACTATTGCAAGAAATGTAATTTAAGACTAATTGTATTTTCCAAAATATTTTTTTTTCCGAAATTTAGCAGTCATTAAGGATTGACATAATTTAAATTACATCTGACATTATTGCTTTTTATTTGTAGGTACAAAATAAACAAATTTAAAAAATCTTTTTCCAAATCCAACAAATATTTGAAGGTAAAAAAATTAAAAATTGAAAACGATATCACAATATCAGGTAAAATTGAAAAAGTTACATTGTAGAATAATTTGACACATCATAATTTTACCGGTCTGTTTTTATTTATTTCATTTCTATATATTTGAAGGAATATAATTTATAATAAATTGTTAACCTCAATTAATTTATTAAACAATTGTAATCTGAAATTTTAGATGTAATAAAATTAACGTTTGCTTAACTCATTGCCGAAAAATCTAGAATAAAATGCGGAATTCTATATTATGCATAATTGGCAGTGCGTCAACAATGTCACAATTCCTCTATTACAGGTCGCCAGTCGTTAATTTTGTTTTTGACAGTAGTAATGGGCAAGTGAAACTGAAATTGATTCATTACTGCTTTATTAGAATTATTCAAAAGGTATAATATTGGTAGCATATTATTTAAATTTTATTATTTACTTGAAACATTAATTTCAGTTGTGTTTTTGTTCATGTTTTGTACAAATGACGTAAAAAGTATATCGGAGCTAAACATATTAAACAAATTCAATTATTCATTTATTTTAAATGTGTGAATATGGGACAAAAAGCTCAAAGTTTTGCACATTAGTAAACTTGATGAAAAGTTAATAATTTTGTTTTCATTATTTAGTAAAGTGTAAATCAATTTTGGCCCCTCTAACTAAATATCTACTTTCAAATCCAACACGTTCGAGGAACGAATCTCCTTAATTTGCTTGATTAAAATATTTAGCCAAAAAGTTATTTATATTATTTCATCAGTTATACACCTACATAATATTTTAAAATTAATAAAATATAATATATAGTCTGTGAAGAATATTGTTATAAAATTAGATAATGATATTGTAAAACAAACTAAAAACTCACTATATCCAAATAAGTAAAAATACAGTTTTTAACTGTACAAATGATAGGTGAAGTATATTTCTTATTATTATAAAAAGAAAAATCCGAAGTAAATATTAGTAATTTAAATATGGTGTAAAAACTATGCACGTAAAATATATCGTGATTTTTTAAAAAAATTTGAAGTAAAATTTTGCTAATAATAAAAGATTTAGCTCTGGCCATTTTTCGCTGTTTAGTATCCATATCTGATAATCCTAATAATGTTCACTAAATAACTAAATCTCACATTTTTTTTATAAAAATTTGTTCACCACTGCATTAAAAAAACAAAAAAGCACATATAAAAAAATCTTTTGGACACTTCACAAACATGTACAAAACCAAAAAAATCCGAAAATCCAAATACCTCTCCTTTCAAAAATATCCAAAAATTTCCTAAAAAAATACTTATATTCTGAAAGAGAAATTTTATGATCTAATGAATAAATTAAAAATTCCAATACTATTTTTGATTTGTAAATCTTCTGTTTCCAATAACTAAAAGCGCGTTTGTAGGGAGCTTCGGGCAAGGTGATTTTCGGCAAGTTGGTTTCCATTTTGTCACAAAAAAAAATCACAAAATGTCTTCTCACATGCTAGATCTACTTACCATTGTGTGTTAGAACTGCTAACTTGCCTTCTAGTATGATCTGACCAGAAGTGGAGCAAGGAGAGAGATCGCTCGCAAGTTTTATATGTGTAGATGGCGCTCGAGTCTGCTGTAACGCTGAAACTGAAAACCCTGAAAAGCGGTTGAAAGCGGCGTCAAGCGTGAGTTGGCAATGCTGGACAGTTGAGGCTGATGCGGATACCTGGAGGAGATACTTTTTTTATATTACGTGGAAATATTTGGAATCTTTTTGTGGTGTATGCTTTAGATGTTCAGTGGCGTCTACACGTCATTAAAATGGGATTTATTGTTAGCACGCCAGGTTTGAAAATAATAAAGAACGCAAGATACTTAAAATCTGCTATTTTTATAAGATTGAAATGTAATATGTTAAAAGTTAAGGTTCATTACGGAAATTGTTCAGAAAATGGTGGTCAGAATAATAGGTATATTTAAAATTTCATATAGGTACGATCTATAATTTTTTCAATATGTTTTATTAGAAATAATGTTTATACAGGATGTCCCATAAATGCTATGTATACACAGGATGGTCTGGCATTACGCCTCGGTCTGAAGAGCTAAAACTTTTGATTTTTTAAATCTGTTTTCACAAAGTGATGTATATCAGATAAGGCAACAGTTTAAAGATAATTTCAATTATACAGGGTTCTCCAGGAAAGTGATACATATCAAAGTTAATTTTTTATTTTATATTTAAATTGCTTTTTCCAACATAAAAATACCAAATAATATGGGATTATACAGAGTATATCACACGCTATAACCAGTTGTACAGGAACATCGTATTGATTTCAATGGCATGTATAGTGCAAAAGAAACAAACGAAAACCAATTTTTTTTGTCGTTAACATTTTAACATTGTATGCCGATGTACAGTTGTTCAATTTTAAACAAATATGTTCTGCATGAGTCAAAACTCAAATACATTTTCTCATTTTTTTAACTGACCACCCTGTATTTTATATTACCATTCAAAAAAACCTTAATTAAACTCACCCAGGTACCTAAATAATTTATTAATTCCATTTATTAAATACAATATTGCATTCTTATTAAATTTAAAATCTTTTATTTAACGAAAAATCTCCCAGATAATTAAATCTTATTTACGACACCTAATAAATAATATCTTTAACCACGTCCGTAAAAGATCCAAATTTCGTGAACGTGTCTGGGAACATAGACCATAAAACATATTTCTTTTCACGAAGTAATTATCATTAAAACACTTAACTCGCTTATCTTTCTAGTTTCAATGTTAAGACCGATTTCGACAATATTTCGATACACAAAGCTTTCAAGGTAAGTAATAAATAAGTGCACCCATATTCGTATTTTCGATTTAAACTAAAACACAAAGACGTGACAGAAAGCTATTAAACTTAGTATAAAAAGTCTGACCAAAAGGAGCTCGGATTCATTCAATTTTTATTATTTGATGTGCAAGCATACATTTTATTATTTTACATTCAAGCATTTACTTTATTGTCTGTACCTAGTTATATAGTCTGTACCTTTCCCAAACGCTCTTCCTAAACGACGTCTATCCCACAAAACCTCCTATTTCCCAAAGGTGTCAACGTCTCGACGTCCAACGTCTCGGAGTCCTACTTCCCTACCTTTCGACGTCCCAACGATATCACTTCTAACACCACTAAGTATCTTCTACCATTATATTCATCCCGACGCCCAATGTCTCGACGCTTGACGTCCAGACGCCCTACTTTCCTACTTCCTACGTCTCGAACGCGGTCACATTCCACACCATCCAAGTATTTCCTACCTTACATTCATTACGACGCCCAACGTTCCATCGCTCTACTTCTCGACGCTGGCCGCCCCTAAATATTTCCTTCATAATATCCTTATCGACACCCTTCGTCACGTCCCGCACCACATAAATATTTCTACCGTATATCTGTCCCAATGCAGTACCGTATAAAATACATTCCTTTCCACCACGACGTTAGGCGCCTCGCGCCTCGACGCGAGGCGACGCTCAACGCTGCGACGTACCTAAATCGACGCCATCACAACGCTAGCTGAAATTAGTACATAATCTAATGTCTGTATTTTTAATGGTGAGTCAAAAGATTTATGTAACTTTTTTTGAGATACCACCGGAGTTTCGTTTAGACGAGGGCTGTTATATTTGCTACAAAATATTATCAATTTAACCAATAAACCACATAGGTCATACACCCCGAAGACAGTTAGGATAGACATCTGTTTTCGATGGGTGAAATTTTATGTATTTTAGTATAAATTATAAAAATCAATATTAAGAAATATACAGGGTTGTAATAAGATATTTCAATAGAAATTATAATGATCAATATAAAAAATATACAGGGTTATATTAAGTTAATTCAATAGAAATTATAAAAATCAATATTTTGGAAATATACAGGGATGTGCTATCTTGGATAAATCGTACAAACCAAGATGGTAAAGTTTAATAGTAAGTTAACCAACTGATGAATACACTGTTCGTTAGCTCAAGGGGGGACACCTATATGCTAAGCAACCCGTTCTACTAAGTATATGTGAAATTAACATAGTAAGGTAAGGTAATTAATAATTCGCGCTGTTCGTTACTTCCGTTGGTCATCACCTCGGATCTAGGACTGTTTTTCGAATGACAATTTTTCGAACGACAGTTTTTCGAAGGACAGTTTTTGAAATGGACAGTTATTCGAACTGATGGTTCTTCGAACGGCCAGTTTTTCGAAGAGCCCATTGTTCGAACAGACCATTTTTCGAAAATACATTATTGAGGAATGATAAAGTGTAGGTAATTTTAACAAAAAACATTCGGTGTCGCACCTGAAATTCAATTTAGATAATTTATTTTTTTTATTTAATTTATTGATAACCTGACACAGGTGCGACACCAAAACGTCAAAAATAAAAAGCGTTTTGTATAAAAATAATGATTTTATTCCAATTAATTCTTTTTAATACATGACTTATTTATAATACACTATATAACAAAAGAAACGAGGAACTTATTTATAAGACAAATTACAAGCTATACGATTTAAGTATTCTATAGGGTCTTTAGGAGAAAACTGAATGATAATATTTTGTAATCTAATATTTAATTGGAAGTACTTCGTTTTCTTCGGCACAGCGGGAGTTCCACAATAAAATTGAGAAATTCCCATTTCAGTTAAGGATTGTTCGCGTTGAATCGCGGTAATAAACTTCCATATTGTGGGATGGTTAGCCGAAAGTTGGCTTTCGAAGGCAAGATGCCAACCTTCAATGTGGTTGTTAGTCTTGGGTTGACTGTTTAAAACATTATTACCACAGTTCCACATTTCCCAATCAAACAACGGTGACCTTCCCAATCCATGTTTCCTCAAAGTAGTCCAGAACCTCGGTAGCTTCTTCTGGAAAATCATCGCTTAATGCATTAAAAAATGGCTGTATGTATTTTGTAGGTACGAAAGCTAATGCAGCTAAAATCTTCATGTGCTGTGCAAAGTTTTTGTCGGAAATTCTTGATGTATCGCTTCTATCATCGCTGCTTCAAAATCTATTAGAACCGATTGCGGTCTGAGAGTGGTACGGATTCCTCGTTTATAAATATATGTATGGTGTAGAGCTGGTAAAAAAGCATAGGTGCAGTCTTAAAAGTTCCATCCATGTATATGTATTCAGCTTTTTGTAGATAATCCAGGTTGTCTTTCGTGCTGAAAATCTGAATTCTTTGTTTAATGTTTCCAGAATCGAAAAGTAGAAATGGTTCGCCTTTTGTGGTGGTTTTAAAAGAATCAGGTAGATACAACTCCTCTACACTTTTCGGCTGTGTGGGTTCCATGTTTTCTTTCACTCTTTCCCTGCGTACTGTTCGCTTTAAACTATTTACTTTACTTAGTTTGGCTGCTGTTAGTTTGTCCACTTCACTTGATAGTGCCGATACTAGGTAGTGTGGAGTGTTTCTTGTTGTCCGAGCATTGTCCTTCTGTTTATTCTTAAAACGTATGGCATCTACTTCTGCTGCATCCGCGGGGTGGTTGTGAGAAGTCTCTTTGCAAACATCATCATGGCTTGTAATTGCTCGCGATTTACATTTCTTAGACAAAAAGAACTCGTACTTCCAATATGTTTTTTCATCAACGGCTTTGTCTTTAACTAATAAAAATCCGTTCAAAAATAACTTTTTTTTTCCCATCTGGGTCGCATTGAAAGGTGATTAAATCATCCCACACATTTTCAACCTAACCTAACCATATATTACTCCACATTGATCTAAAATGTTTTAAACAGCTAGAATGTAGAGTGTAGAGTCATCTGTTGAAACGAATGTTAACCCACCAACACATAAAGTTACATTGGGAATTCACCAATAATGGGTCAAACCACTAGACAAGCCGTATGCCATTTATTTGGCAATAAAGAATTATCCGTCACTTTAGTTTTGCTGGTTTGGGGTTTAATTAAAGTTTTTGGAGCTCTTCCATTTGAAGTATTTTATTAAAAGTTAAAAAATAGTATTTTACAGACATTATAAGTCAGAGAGTGGAAAATAAAGCCCAAAATCGAGAAAATAGTATAAAACACACGTTGCAGAAGGCAATTCACAGACTCATTCGTTCGTATACTCACTCCTTCGTCGCTAGTGGCCAAATTTCGAATTCGCGTGGGAATTTCATGGTTGGGTTGCCATAAAATACAGATGCTAAAAGAACAAACAACTACATTATTAATGAAAACAAATATGACTCAAAAGTCGCAAAAATTGTGAATACTGCAAACGGTGGAAAATGACGTAAGTAAACCTTTAATAAAAGCCGCAAACTGTGAATATTGCAAGAGACGTAAACATTTATTAAAAGTTATAGAAACTTTTCCTTTATAGCCAAATGGTAAACCATTATTGTACAAGTTATTACCAAAAGACGCAAGAGGATTCTATAGGAACATTTTCATCTAATCCAAGCATACAGTTTGAAGATGATTTGGTGCGACAGTGGAAATAGAAACGGAAATTGAAGATAATAGTCGATCACAAAAATCAAAATCTGATATGTTATGTTGGGAATGGAGTGTTAATACACTGCGACCTAAAATATCTATTGTGCCCCCTTCTGTCGATAATGCAGCAAGGAAATGTCTCAATGCCTATAACAACCCTTCCAATCCTATCTTCTCAAGAAAGTGTAGGATTTAGAGTGGTCCAAACAATTTGGTGGTGGCCTGACTCATTATTGCTTAATACGATCCAATTATTAGTGTTATAAATGGCTGAAATAATGTAATATCTAGTCACATAATAAATAGTAGATTTTACGTTGTCCATTACAATAAAAAATAGAAAGAACTAACAGATTGATGCAATTTTCGGTACAAAACAAAGCATGAAATTGCTACTAGAACTAATAGGAACATCCCAATCTTTCACTGAACGCGACGCTACTGACTAAATTCTATTATTGTATTTCTACTGATATAGTGGATAGTGTAAAATAGAATTTGGGACGTAAACACTGGTTAACCCAGCCTCATTTTGGCAAATAAATTTTCTTTAGTCTGCCTACAAACAGTGAGTAATACGGTAGAGAATGTTGATTCCTAATCACACTACGGTTTTGTGAAAATTTTCATTTTTTTCATACAGTTGAAAATCCTTAAAATTTTAAACAGTACTTATATGGCTAGGTATTTATTTTTGACTGAATGTAACTTTGTGATTTAGTATTTAAAATATACCGGGTGTGAGTTACGTAAATGTTTGTAGGTAGATATTTTTAACATCTTATTATTGATACCGCAAATTATGGTGTATATATAACCTTTTAACTTTTGTGCAATGCCATAAACTAAACATAATTTCTAATAAACTATCACAAAATCAGTTAACTTCTTCTACATGATCCCATTTTGTTAGGATACTAAATTAAAGAGCAGTAGTCCCTTTCAGGAACCAATCTTAAATCATCCTCGTTTTTGCAGCTATACCTAATATTGAAACTATGGGGTATAAATATATTGTTCCTATTATAAAAAACGGATACGAAAAAACCACTATCGGCCTATGAAATGGTTTTATCTTTTAGGTACCTCAATTTTGCCCCTGGATTACGTTAAACGGCAGTGAATATAAGTTCATGATTTTAATTTATTGAAATCAGATCATAGGTTTGCCGAAATTGTTTTAACATGTTATACCACTAGAGTTTAAATTTCCATAGAGTTGCGTTTATTTAAATAACTATTGCCAGAATTTATTTTTGCTGTGGCATTATTGTTTTATTATATGTTTTTGCTTGTATTTCTGATGTAGGAGTACTTAACCCTTTGTTGTCTGACGGTACTCCTAAGTACCGTCATTTTCGATCCTCAATATAATTACACGGAGAGGGCTTGGGTGCTTTATAGCTTGACGGTACGTGGACGTATCATGAATATTGCGATAGACAAGCTCGGCTTGAAACTGACCGTGCATCGTTGCTGACAGTTTAGTTGTCTACCTACCGACGTATAGTGAGGGAGCATAAAAATAAAGTTGAGCCTTTCGTGTTATTGTTTTGTACTGTATATTGAAAAGTAAGTATATATTTTTGGTACATTGTAATGAAAGACGTTTTATAAATATAATCTTGCAAGTTTCATTTAACAATTTGATACCAAATGTTATAAAATTTAACTTTTCAATTCCAGAAGATATGAGGTTGGCTAACCGAGGAAATCATTGGCTAATCTATGAACAAACTAGAGGTCGGTGTGAAATGTGCAGTCGCAAAAATGTGCAATCTCGCCCACATTCCAAGTGCAACCTGGTCAATGTATATTTATGCTGCAACGAGAAAAAAACTGCATGGCAGAATACCATGAAATCAAGATCTAGTTCTTATTTTTTATTTGTTTTAATTATTTTTTAAAATTAAAAATAAATATTTGCAAATCAAATTAAATTTGTGTGTCTAATCCATAATTTTGTTGTCAAATAAATGTTTGTAACTGTCTGACGGTACTTATTGGTACCTCGATTGGTACCGGTTATTAAAAAAAAACTGACAAAGAAAAAATTCAAAAAAATTAATTTGAGTATTTTTTATTCATATTGGATCAGCTGTTCACTAAAAATAGGTTTTTTTTTGTTTTATTCTTAGTCCAGGCAACAAGGGGTTAAATAGGCCATAAAGAATATTCTATAATTAAATTAACTTTATTCGATGAAGTAAAACTACTAACAGCACTTATAGAGCTTTAATATGGTCTATACCAATAAAAACCTTGGGTTACTTTAACAATGAAATAACAGAGTTATCTATTCCTACTTTTTTGACCTAACAGTAAATATTCCAAATCTCCTAATGTATATGCAATTTCTACATGTTTCTTTTTAGGGTCCCTCCGATCAGGTATCTGAATAGTGACCTTGTCGGTTTTATCTTGACTATTTTTAATAGCTTGGTTCCAAATGCTGAACCATAATTTCAGCTTGTCCTCTTCTCTCGTATTTTTTAACGTTTTCATGAACTCCATTTTGTCTAAAAATATTATGATATTAAGGAAAATACTTAACAAAAAACCAAATAAGGTTAAGTGTATATACAGGGAGGCCCAGATTTAGACGGATAGCTTAAAGGAAGGTAGGAAGTAGTCCAGAACACCTTCTAACTTAGAAAGAAAGAACATTCGAAGTTGAAAATTGAAACTAAATTATGTAAATTAAACGAAAACTTACAAATTTCTTGCATCTTCTTTTGATCGTTGACAGATTCCTTGTCAGACTCAAACCTGAAAGTAGTCTCTGTCTCCTTCCATCTTAAAATTTTCGAATTAACGTACGTTACACTAACCGGCTCTTCCGCAAATCTTCTAGCCATATTTTTAATTTTATCACTTTTATCTCTATTATCTCTGTAATTAATAATGGTATGCAAATCAATCTTTTCTTGCTTTTGATGGGCTCCAGTTTGTCGTACGGTTTTGTAAAGATTAGCTGAGAATTGGTCCACGAACTGTTTAATCTCTTCTTCTTTTGGTTTTTCTTTTGATTTCTTAAGATTATTAAGAGTATCTTCCATTAACAATATGATTTTGTTTTTTATATCTATTCCTGGTTTTAGGATATCTTCACCCCATTTCCAAAACGTTCCTGTACTAGTGCTAGGTTCGTCTTTGCTGATATGTTTTTCTCTTTCTTGATGTACTTGTTGATTAACTACATATTTTGAATTTACTTGGGTATATTTTTCACGAGATGATGGCCTCTTTTGCTTAGTTTGACAAGGTATTTCCATTCTGATTTGACTAGCATAGTTTGTAACTTTACTAATGTGGTTCATTACTTTAGAAATAATTTTTTTGAAGTAATCTTTAGCTACCGACCTCTCTTCTTGTGCTGCTATTCTATCTTCTAACACTCTTATTTTCTCTGAGAGGTGTTTAAAATAGTATTGACACTGCATATGATTTTCTTCTTTATAGTTACTAGCTGTCTTCTTTCTGTTAATATCCTCTTTGGAATGCTTTTTTGGACAATTAGTTAATCGACTGGGAACGTATGTGGTTTCGTTAGCAAAGGGTTTCTTTTGCGAGTCCGCTACTATACCGACAATGGAACAGTTTTTACATGCACATGGTTCTTCTGGTTTCAAATTTTGATCTCTCTTGTTCTTATTTTTACATTCAAAAAATGAGTTTAGTTCTGCGAATGTTCTGGATGCTGTGTAGATTTGTTTGATTTTTTCTTTGTCCATTTCCGATGTACTGCCTTCTGTTCTGTCTGTTCTGTTACCTGCACTAAAAAGTAGTATTTTTGGCTTATAATTAGTTGATTTTAACTGAAAAAATATAATATGTTGCTATTAGTAGGAGGCCAACATTATTGTTATAGTTTGAGAACTTAAGAGAAACATTTTATTTTATTTACGAAAAAACCATAAAATCTTCAAATAGGATAAATTGAACGTTTTAATTTACAGTGATTTAAAATAAATATTAAAAAAAATCCTACAACTAGTTTTATTAGTGAGGGAAGGGAGTATGTGTTTTGAAAACAATTTATTTTTAATACAATTTCCATGGTCTTATTTTACTATAATTAAAATAACAGATAAGCAAATCGGCCAATGTTGAAATTTTTGACAGCATGTATACGCCCAATCACTGTAAATTAAAACATTCAAGTTATCCTATTTTTAGCTTTTCTGTTTTTTTCGATAATAATGTACTGTGTCCCCCTTAATGAGATAATATTAAAAACAATTTGGAAGCAACATCAAAAATGATTTAAAATAAGAAATTGTGGAAATGTAAGAAATGGAAAGGACAAATATGATAAAAATAACCTCGACATTTTATGGTAAAAGAGATCAAAAATGTATATGATTATTACTCGTTTACGTACTTTCTTGGAATTGGAGGAGGTGCAAATTTTTCCATGGGACTTTTTGGTTTGGAAGAAGGATTTCTAGGTGTGTCACTGTTTAACTTTATATCTTTAGGAACCTGTTTAGTTGGACTAGTTGAAGAAGGTCTTGACGAACTCATAGCCGCTATAAATTTTTTAACTTCCTCTCCAGACATAATTTTCTTTTGTGCCGTATACAATTTATCTAATTTTGGTTTAATTACCGTGACATCCAGCATTGTATTTCCGTATTTCTCGGGACAACTTATAATGTCTTTTACCTCATCGTCCATTTCGAGTTCGAGTGTAAGTTCGATGTCTTTGTCTGGTACATCTTTGGTAATATGCAATTTTTCGTCTTTACATTTTAATTTTTGTGTAGGTTTTAGCATTATTATCCGACGCACATTTTAGTGTCGGTATTTTGGCTAATAACTCTTATCTAAGAATTTTGAACAAATTCACAAATGTCAACATGATATTTCGACAATTTAAAAAACATTATTGACATCATCAATGATATGGCAACTTACAGATGCTACATGCCATAGCCCAAAGTGGATCGGTCTGCCATTTTGATTGATAACTGTTAAAAACTTTATAAGTGCGTATTGCCCTTCGAGCATAGAAGGTAATGCCTAGATCTGCACTATATATTCCTGTTATACGCTATACTTGTTTATTTACAAAATTGACTGGTTTAACGTTTCATAGGCTGGTATAAAAATTATAAATTTTGTACATGTGTTATCTGAATTCACAGCCCCAAAAAACTAATTTCACCTGCATCCAGCAGCGCAACCGGAATCCCTCTTTAACAAAATTTGGGAATTCTGTTATCAGCTGTAGAAATTTTAAATTCAGGAATTGTATCATCAACTGTTAAAATTATCAATGTATGAATTGAGAAAAAGTTACAAACTGAAAGACCTGCAGGGCATCGGTAGTTTAGTAGGTATAAAAATTACAACTTAAGGGTGGAGCCTAAATATACTACAAAATTACTCCCGAGACTTAACAAAATCAGCATTCATTCATAATTTTAATAATTGCATGTAGATACGAGGTATACATATTCTAAACTCTAACGTGCGAAGTTGAGACAAAGGAATTGAAAAATATTCGACAATAGCACAAATATAATATATTTGTATAAAATATACATATTATGTCGGCAAGTTTATTGCTGACAAGTAACCATGTTCACTTAATATGTTTATGTATTTTGTAGTATTCTCGTTGGAGTCGTCTAGGATATCAATATTGATGTCCCCCAAAAGTAAATTATAAGCAAAATTATCTGGTTGGTTTGTAAGTATTAGTTCCAGTTCATCAAGAAAGGGCTCTATCATAGTACTAGATGAACGATAAAAAGCATTTACTATAATTGTATTATGTTTTATAATTAGTTTAAGTTGTATCATGTATGTTCCATTTAAATTAATTATTTTGTGGGAATGATATAGCTCTTTTTTGATGAAAATAACGATTCCGTCATTTTGATTTAGTGAACCATTGTTATATACTGTGTGGTATTCAGGTAAATTAATTGAGGAAATATCATCTATAATTCTAGTTTCTGTAAGTATAATGCATTCTATGGGCACTCTTAGGTCAAAAAAGAAAACTTTAAATTCATTAAAATTTTTAAAAATACCTGATTCATTTCTAATATTTGTTTTGCTTCTTGCGAATGAAAAGGTACCTTTAGTTTTATAATATGTAACGAACATAAGATACAATGTTTTAACAAAAATTATTTTGTGTCTAATTTTTTTGAATTATACCTAAATATAGTTTTAAGAGCAACATAAATCACAGTTAACAGATTTCTTTATTGTTATAATATAAGCATAAAGGGAGATTTGGGAATGTACATGATATTGCCTGATCCTTTAATTTCGGCTTTCCTCTTTTTATTTTGCTAACAGCAGGGCCTTCGTAAGATATTTGGTGCCCCTGGGCTACTAGAAATTATGCGCCCCTCTTAATAATTAAAAAATGATTTAGATAGGAATAATACTAATACACATTGTATCAGAATAAAAAAGTGTCCTTAAATTCACCTTTTTAAATAAAAAACACAAATAATTCAGCAAAATAAATGTTTTTTATTATAATATGTGTGTACAAAACAGTAAAAAATAATATGAAGATTAAAAAATGTTGGTAAATATAAAAATAATAAGTAATTCTAGAAAGTTATAAATTTTATACCGTTAACAAAAAAATACATTACCCTAAATATTTATTTTTCTTGCCTTTTCGGTAACAAATTGTTTAATAATATCCAATGTATTTAAATTATTAAATAGTTCATTCTCGATGGATATGTTCAAATTATTTAATTTATCCTGTCCCAATGAAGAACGCAAATAAGTTTTTAATTCTTTTTAAGGTTGAGAAGGATCTTTCGGTGCTGCAGTTTGTTGTTGCAATACTTAAAAAGATAGGCATTGCTGTAGCCACGTTCGGAAATGTAGACTCAATTTTTGATTCAATAATTGTTTTTAAAATAAGCTCGGCCATAGATATATTTTGCTTGTTTTCAATTAAATATATGTGTTTAAAATGAATGCAGTCTTCCACAAAATTAGCTTCTAAATCGTCCATATACGATTCGTATAACACAGCAGCACTCTTTGTTATTGTTGCTTCATCTAACTTTTCTAAGTTTACAAGAAATCAAAATTTTAGAAATATTTCATCATAAGCAAGTTTTCTTTTCTGAATTTCTGCTAGAAGCTTATCGATAATTACATATTTAGTATGAATTCTAAATGCATTGTCAGGATCAAATTCAATTTCCTCGGACATGCTTTCATTGTATTGACGTTTTCTCCTCCTAAGTCGTTTGTATTGATTACATTTGGAAAATTTTACTCCTTCAGATTTATAAAAATGAAAGGCTTCTGAAGTACGTTTCGATTTCAACATTTCTTCTACTGCTGTATATAATTTAACAATAGTTTGAATGGATATATCCACTTTTTGAAGTGATTTGTTAGTTTTATTCATCATTTCAAGAATATCGCTCCAAAAAACGATCATAATACCTGTTTCCAGTGACGCAAACTCATGCAGTAATCCTTGTGCTTCAAGTTTTGTAGTGGGCTTTTGCAAATTATCTTCATGTATATTTTTAAGTGCATTTTTAAAATTCCCATGACCGGAAACCACGGCTTTTACTGAATCAGCTCTAGCTGACCAGCGCGTGCCACTTAAAGTTTTAGGGACTTTGTGTTTTTCCTGTAGCTTTTTTTTTAATATTTCCCGTCTCGATGTTGACGCCGCAAAGAAATTGTACAAATTTTGCAAAAACATGAATAATTTGGTTGCTTCAAAACAGCATTCCGCCGCTGATTCGCCAATTAAATTTAAGGAATGTGCTGCACAGGGTACATAAATAGCAAGATTATTTTTTTGATTTAATTCGTGCTTGGAGCCCACTATATATATCCGACATATTAGAAGCATTATCATAGGATTGTCCTCTGCAATCTTCCAAACTAATATTCAATTCAGATAGTAGATTCAAAATGCGTTCTTCCATTTGCTCGCTTTTATGACCGGTATTTTCTAAAAATTTTAAAAACCGTTCGACAGCTGAACCATTTTTGTTTACGTATCTAATAACAATGGTTAATTGATCTATGTGCGCAGTATCTGGTATCGAATCTACTACTATTGAATAATATTTTGCGTCTTTTAATTCCTTGATAATGTCAGTTCTAACATTATTTCTTAAAATTTCTACAAACTCATCGCATATTTTTGCAGATAAATAAGACACATTACCAGTACCCTTATTCGCATAATTAAATAAATGTTGCTGTATAGGATTAAATTTTGCTAAGAGTTCTATGCATCCTAAGTAATTTCCATTGTGTTTATTTCCAATGATTTGGTTGCTTCCACTAAAAGCTAATCCTCTTGAACATAAAAATTTAATAACTTCAACAATCCGCTCTAAAATATTTCTCCAATAATTTGTATTTTGTTCTAAACTAATAATCAAATAATATTTGAAATACTGAGATTTTCAGTGGATCTCTTTACAAATATCCGCGTGTTTTCTTTATCTAGGGATGAATTTTCATGGTTAGCAATTTTTTCCGGATGTTTCCAATCATTGAAACCTCCACTAAATATATTACTCGCACTACCAAATAATTTGCAAGGTACACAATAAACTTTTCCTGAAGAATTTGAATACAAAAGCCAATTGCGCTTCTGTTGTTTTCCATTTCGTAAATGTCTATAAAATATAGTTTTCTTAGCATACCTATTTTGTGATTTGTGAACTACTTTAGATGCAGAAATAGTATATTAAAGTATAAGTGGATATAACGGTCTTTAAAACAAGCGCGATTTTTCGAGCACGACGGCGCAGCCGGAGTGCTCAAAATAGAGCAAGTGTTTTAAAGACCCGTTATCCACGAATACTTTACGCTATTTTTTTTATTGGTATACTTTGAAATCCTAAATATTTCTACAAAAAAATGGAAATAAGAACTAATAACTGAAAATGGTTGAATTTGTGATGTAACATCAGTATACCTCGTTGTCATGAAAATGAGACGAACAAAAATTAATTTTTAATCTGTCACGTAAGATTAATTGTCGCAACAGTTGTTATTGTTTATAAAATCGAATTACTGCTTTACATGAAGCATATCGAATTTTACAATCTTCAAAAATGGCTTCACCTTGTTTCACATCCAAATTTCTGTTTCGCATAAATCATATTGGCAAGGGTATAAGGTAACAAAGTAAGTTCAAATTACTGCTTCGCATGAAGCATATTGAATTTTTCACAAGTATTACAAATTAAAAATTTAAAAAAACCGACTTCAAAAACGTGCAGATGCCACATCTTAACCAAATTTATATGGGACCACCCTTGAGGTACCCCCTTACTAACAAAAAAAGAATTGTATAAATCGGACAAGGTGGTAAAGCATTATCGCTAAACATACATAAAAAATGAAGAGTTTGAGGATTTTCTCATGGATCCAATTATTAGATTTTGACTAAATTTATATGGGACCACCCCTGAAATACCCCCTTTCTAACAAAAAAAGAATCATTGAAATCGGACACCGTGTTAAAGAATAATCGCTGAACATACATAAAAAAAAAATATATATATATATCGCGACGAATTGATAACCTCCTCCTTTTTTGAAGTCGGTTAAAAAATGAGTTCAAATCATAGCCCTCAGAAGGTCTAGATACCGCATCGTAAAAACATTTTGACCCCCCATATGATGGGCGCCATGATAAATAAATGTCAATAAATTTTAAGTTGGCACTACTGACAAGACAGAATCGGCGCAAGTTTAGTAATAAGCGTAAGATCGGCGTTCGACGTATATAATCGATTTTATTATCTGTTGTGTTTATTTTGTTTTTCTAGTAAAGGTTTTATTTAAAACATTATTTTTTAGTTTAGTCGTTTAGTGTTTTATTTTAATAAAAAACATTTGTGGTTTGGTGTTAAATTTTTACAGGATTTTCAAAATCTCTTTTTGTTTTGTACGTGAATGTAACAATGCATCTACAAGGAAGGAATAACATTTCATGTGTAAGTTTTCACAAATATTTGTGTATTTACAAAATCAAATAATTTGTATGTTTTGTTGTAGCATACAAAAAAATGTTAGGAAAGAATAACTGATAGCCATAGGAAGACCATTGAATCATTTTGTGACTTTAGTATAAGCCCAGAAAATTTGGGGATACTAGCTGAAACGGCAAATGTGTTATTGGCTCCTTGTTAGTGACCTATTGTACAATTTTTCCAACACAAGTTCCATGATCCTTTGAACTTGGCTGCACCGTACTGATGAAGACCAATAGTCAGAAAAACGTGTCGACCGTTACTTCTTTTTTACTTTTTTTTATTTGGAAAATGTCCACTATTACTACCTTGATACAATAATATTAGTTCCGTTCTAAGTAGGTACATATTATAGTTTGTATGTTTTATGCTTTATTTTATTATATGTAATAAATGATAGGAAATATACTTTTATAGTAAATAAATTGATTAAAGCAATATGTAAGAATAAGTTTATCTAAGGATTAAATTGTTAAAGCAATTTTTCATATCTATTGTTTATTAATTTGTTTCATTTAATTCTTTCTTATTGAGTAAGTTATTTCATATAAATATGCGATACTTGTAAAATGTAATATTTTCTTTTAAATAGGAGGTATATATTATGTTCGTATAAAATATTGTTCAGTTAATAAAAACAGAAACATTTTGTCTTTTATTCAAAAGAAGTTTGTAAATTTTTCAAAATATATTTACCTACTCCAAAAAAAGATTAATAAAACCAGTTAGTCATATACACATTTTCTATATATTTATAGAGGTACTTTTTTGCTGTTAGGAAATATTCTTGGGTAGTTCTAATTATGGACGAATCTGTGTCTGGCTGAATGGCAATGTGCCTATGCCAAAAAAAAAAAAAAAAAAAAAAAAATAGAGGTACTTTTTAAATAACTTTCAATACATTCGAAATCTGTGGTTTTATTAAACTCAATGTAACAAATAATAATAGGTATTCTCAAAAATATTTACAAATAAAATCGAGATGGGACTCTTGTATAATTTAGTGACTATTCGCCTATGGTTAGTGCACTACTGTATGTCCCTGGGTTTTCTACATTAGAACAATACTGCTTCTCCACTCTAGCAGTATTTTTTGCATCTCAGATTATATTTATTAAAAAACCAAGGAATTGTTTTGGGCCTATTGCTGGGCCCTTTTCCAACATTCCCAAAGTTTTTTTTTTTTACTTTCTGCTGATTGGATCTCCGATAGCGACAACTCCATTTGTTGTTCCACTAGTTTTTTATAAAATTTTTAAAATAACTTCTATATATTTATCTTTTGCAATGACTTTGCTTACCTGCTTCATAATCTCTTCCCTATGCCCCAATTTCTCTAACAGGTGAGATCTTATACTCGCTCTATTAAATCAAATTATCATTATAGTTTATTTGAAAATGCTTGGTAGCACAGTTTTTATGGCAAAGGTCCATATTTTTATATAATTTTGCTATTATTCATTTTCAAATAAACTATAGGAATAGGAGTAATCTATTAGTTTTTCTAAAATACCTTGTTACCGATGTAAGTATATCTTTCCCTAGTTAAAAAATTCGAGTTTTTATTTTCATAATATAATATAAATAAATGACCGGTTAACAATCACATTCTTTTAAATAGTACATTTGACATTGAAGTAGGTATTTTCTCCATATTGCTAAACAGAAACAGAGTGTTTACTTGTAATTTGAATTATATTACATAAATCTCACTGAATTTCTCTATAATTCTCATAGCAATATGTACACAAACCACTTATCCAATAATATATAACCATGTAAAAATAACATTTCAAGAACGAGAAATTTTATAAAACCGGTCCTGTCTGAACAGATCTAGGAAAATCAAATAGGTTTGTTAAAGTTTTGTTCTTAATTTGAAATTAGAAATTGTGCGTCTCACTCACTTATAACTAATAACAAAGTGCAGATTATCGGTGTTCACGTATTACAGAACACACAAACTAAAAATCAGTGTAGCCAAAACATAAATTTACCTAACATGGCGACAAGCTTGAATGGGGTCATTTTTTTTGTATTGACAGTATACGCCTTAATACGCCAAGCGGTATCTAGACTTTCTGAGGGCTATGGTTCAAATATTGAGTATTTAAATAATAAAGCAGAATCGCGCTTAATACCACAAAAATCCGAAGCGGTTTATAAAAAAGAATACGATAAATTCAACAAGTGGATGGAAGAGCAAATGGTTACACATATAGATGAACGAGTTGTTCTCGCTTATCTCCAGAAAATGTCGGAAGAGTATAAAGTATAGACTATGTGGATTATCCATTCAAAATTACAAATATTTTATTTGACATTACAAGGCACTCCTGTCAGATCAATATGTAAAAAGACATCACGTTTCTCGTGTTGTTGATGTTGCCATGGTAACTTTAAAACGCGCGTTTTTTAAAGTTCGTTTTAAACACGCTGAGGCGTACTTTAAATAAGTAAAATAGGGTACCAATAAAAAAATCTAATTTTTCAATATCTAACTCAATGTTACAAACTTTCATTATTATTTCCGTAATTTTATTTTCGGTTAATCTTCCCCATAATGCTGGATATTCATAATTATCCGAGATTTCTTCCTTTTGAATTATTTCCTGATCTTCATCCCTTTTTCCTGTTTCTGATCCTTCTTCATATGTGCTTCTTCTTTTGCATTCTGATCCGGATTTTCTTCATTTACAGCTGCATCTGGATCGGTTGACGTATTTCCAGCTTTTTTAAAGAAACCTGTTATTACAGGTATTTTCTTGAGAGTTTCTTTTTGCTTCGCGTCCTTTTCTTCTTTTAATTTACGATAGGCAAAACCAGATAACTTTTTTCGTTTGACTTCCATAGTTAGCCTTGCTGGTAGCTATAATAAAATAATAAAAAATAGTTACTGTTTTACGAGCAGGGAATGATAATTATTTCCTATGAGTACGAAATTTGCAGCATGAGCCGTAGGAAGTAAAAAAATATGTTTTTAAATTGCAACAATAAATGCAACTTACCTTATTCTAGATAGAAAATAAATGTTGAGCACTAATTTTTTTCGTCAAAGATAAAGTTCAAATTACACAAAGTCGCAAGAGCATACAGGCGCGTGTAAGAACTGAAGTGAACTAAAAGGCTGGCGCCCCAGGGCTTTATAGCCCATTTATAATATCTTCTAAAACGTGTAGAACAGCATCATCTCTAGAAAGTGCTTTATCGGCCCTAGGAACGATATATATGCTGCCACTGATCCTAAGCGTTTAGGATCATATAAAAACATTTTTTACAATGACAAAATTGGGGTTCAACAAAAAAATAAAAGTAGCAACTCTTTATCTAACATTAAAACTCTATAAAAAAAAATCTTTTCTTGTAAGTAAAATTTATTGTATAATTATTGTTGTTTGTAAGTCAGGATCTATGACTGTAAAATTTTATATTAAAGACATAAATAGAAACAAACTACACTCGGTAAGATTAGTTATGACTAGTTTACAATAAATATTATATTTAGACATAAATACATTATTTTACTTACATTATAAGCTTTAAAAAGACAGTGAATTGATTTATCCTGGTGTTTTCTTTATGATTTGTATTCCGTTTTACAATCTGAAACGAAGTAAATCTTGCTTTTATAGTTTTTGTCACTCATGTTACTTGTACTCAGGTACTTTTTCCCACATTATTTTGATTCTTTTTACCAATTTAAAAAAAAACACTTCATTTTACTTTGATTTACATAGAAAATTGACAGCACCACTGTTCAACATGCCAACTATAGTCAATTTCGCGAACTTCATAAAAAGAAGGACGGAAATTTGAAATTTGACCATTGCCGGTTCGCCTGCTAGTCTTCATATATACCCAATTTTACTGCACTTCTCTTTTATCCAGCCTATAGCCAATTCAAGATTTCAGCAGTAAATAAGTGAAAGCTTACTGATTTCTTCGGAAAAAGGTTAGTTCTAATCTTTTAGGCTACTTCGGTCAATTTAACAACGGTGATTTATCTACTGTTTATATGATCGAAACCCTTCGACCAAGTTAAAAAATAAAAATCAATGAAACATCACTTTTTAAATAACATAATATATAAATCAGGTAAGATATACATGAAAAATTTCAAAAAAATAAGTAAGTAAAATTTTGCTCAAAATTTAAGACTGATCAGCTTGAGGTGTTATCTCAATTCCTTCACTGACGCCTTTTCCTTGCCTCTTAGCCTGCTGCTTTCTGATATAGTTAACAATTTTGGTACCAATATTCCATTTTTTCTTCTTCAAATCTGCAGTGAGTTTAATAGTACGATAGCATTCCATGAGAGACTTTCCGGAAGATCCGGCTAAAGGAAACGTCATCGTTTTTTTAATTTCATCGCCATGAGAGGAAGACAAATTAATTTCATCAAGAGAATTATTCTCATCAGGACTGTTTAAGATATCTTCAGAATCTGATCGGGGAAGTGGTAAATCTTCTGGTAATTGTTCCGATTTTACTGCTTTAAACGGTTGCTCTTTACAGTCTAAATCAACTACTCTAAGTATTTTTTCTGATTTCGAATCACGTGTTTCGTCTTTGTGCTCATTAAGCATTAATTTAGCCCAAAGGTGTTTTGAGTTTTTCACTAAATCTGTAAGTCTACTCTTCTTCTCTACAGGGGGTTGTCTAATACCCGGAGGAGTACTTACTTCTTTATTAGCATCAATATGATCACCAACGCCAAATGTTGATGCGTGCGAGCCTTCCATAATTTCCGAAATTTTTGATTTCTCTTCTGATATGGCCAATTCTTGAAATTTGTTCGAAAGATTTTCTAAAATGTCTCCTACATTTTTTACCGATTTCGCTTCTAATTCCTCGACCACGTCCAAGGCGTTGTCTATTATTTCTGATACCAACTCAGAGGCGATGACATTAGCAAAATTTTCTTCACTTTTATAATTTTTTTCTATTTTTTCGCAATCGCCAGTGCCTAAAGAATGATAACTTTTATATTTTATCTGTTTAATGTTTTATTTGGGCTTACCTATAGTGTCAACGATATTGCAAGACATTTTTGTTAATATTCATCGAATTAAGAAAATAAGCTGACAGTTTTTGAAAGAAATGCCTCTTTTGTTCATAGCCATAGTTGGCTAAAGTTTTTACGTAACGTTTTAATACCTACAGGGTACAGAGCTAGGACAGATATAGGGTAGCGTGATATAGAGCATTCAATATAAAAACCGATACACGTCATCAATCAGTTGTGAAGTCATAGCCTTGCAGTGTTGCCCAATCTTCAAAATAGTCTAAGAATGTAGGAATTTTTAAAACTATGAAGTTGTTTTTTTGGCTATGTTATTAGGAACAATTAATTTTAAATGTATAAAGAATTCTATATAAAAGCCAATGAAGGTCATTGATAATGTTTAAATTGAAGTTTTAGAAATACACTGAATTTAGGAGTAATAATTTTTGCACAAGAAGTTTAAAATGACAAAAAAAAGGTTAGATTAAGGATGAAAAAACAGACAAATTTTATTTAGGCTTGATTTAATTTACAATAAAAAATAATTATGTTCAGTTAGTTTATAAACATCCATATTTAAAAGAAATAACAATAATAATTAGAACAGTTAGGTAATAAATTAACAACACATGACATTTTAAAACTTAAATAATATTTAAACTAAAATCAGTCAGAATAATTAGAACTAAAATCAGAATCATCTCTATTTGGTGTTATAATAATGGGAGCAATTTCCAATCGGTCCAGTATATGTTCTCTTTCACACCATTTAAATATTTCTTTTGCAGTGTGTCTGCCCACATTTGTGGGGTAATGGTTCGGAGTGCTTCAGACCACATGTCTATACAATCTTTTTGTGTAACAAAGGCCCATTATTATCACGTTCTTTCTCAAAATAATTTATTAGAGAAGTCACTAGTTCCTTGCAGCGACTATTTAATTGTTTTGACATTTTTCAATGAAAAAATACACATAAATTTGTTCTGAAAAGAACAGTTTGTTAATAATTTAATCTAAAATAGAAATAATTTGTTGAAAAGAAATCGATCGATGCAAAATAATACAAAACAAATAACAATTGACAACAATGTATTAAAATTGAAACCTGACACATTTGATGCCAACTTTTATTATGAAATTTACTAGAAAGTGTTCCGTTAATAATCTGCCTACAGTACATTTACTACTGTGATATGATAAAAAAAAACATTTTTAATATGCAATTTTATTAAAATGAACTCCATGCGTCTAAATTTATTCATTTATTTGCAAAATAAAATTTAATTATTTTTATTAGTGTGTGTGGTACCAATGACTGCCACTGACGTCATCTCTGACGTACATCGGTTTTTATATTGAATGCTCTATAAACAAAAGTTGTCATACACATAAAATATTCTTTTTTTAGGTTCTTCAAATGGCGCAGTGAGTGCGCACTATTTCAGAACTAATTTAGTTTTTTTTTAGAATTAGCATCTAAACGTAGATTTAAAGGTGTGATGGGAAAACCCCCCTATTATTCAGTTTTATCCTTGTTAAAGTCGTACAATATTACCTAGACATTTTAAAATTTGTAATGTGGGGAATAGATTTTGGAAGAACATGGTGAATAAATGTATACGGGTTATTTGAATGAGCAAGAAAGTGTTACCAAAGTTTCTCCCAGCTTGATCTAACATTTCGTTTCATTGCATGAATAATATCCTCAGCAGAATGAATATCACTAATAGTTAGAAGAAGAACGGATTCTTTAGCAGCTAAATCGACTTTTACATTTCCAGCTATCCCTTTATGACTTTTAACCCTCGATCTTGATTTTAGAATTATGAAGAGAAAGGAGAGACTAACTAATTTATCTTATAATAGGATTTTTGTTAATATTGTACGAATAGAAATTAAAAATAAAACAGATTTCGAGTCTGAAAGAATAACCGATTTGCTTTTTCCATAGCTTTTTATCCAAATAAGTGCTGGTAAAATTACAAAAGCCTCCGCTGTATAAACAGATGAATAATTTGGTAAACGAAATTGGAAAAATAAAGTTTTAATTTTCCACATAAAAAGCGCATCCTGTACCTTGTTTTCCTTTAGACCCATCGCAAAAAGTAGTATTAGCTGTATCTAGCTTTCCCACTACCGATTTTATGATTTTAATATTATTTTTAGGGGAAGAAGTAAACTCACGAAATAAGATTCTTGGCTTGAACAATAAGGAGAAAAAATTAAACTGGTATATAGGAAGAATATCGTAATACTCAATTTTATTTATAAACTGGTTTCCAATATTTGTTGGTTATGTTTTCAATATTCAGAATAAAGGCAGAATTCAGTATTTTTCGAAAACATTTTAAATGTATCTAACTTTCTGCATGCTAGAAAATGTCTTCATGAAGAGGAGGCTTTTGTGCTTCCGCGAGAACCGCTGGAGTAGGGGAAGATTTAAAAGCACCGATACATATTTTGACTGCTTTAACTGGCATACAATCTAATAACTTAAGGCTTGAGTTCGCAGCTTATCCATATAATATGCACCCATAGTCGATGATTAATTGGATGTAACATCTATAAAACATTAACGACGTTGTTGTTTCTATACCCCATTTAAATTTTGTGATTCATTTAAGAATATTAATGCCTCTTTCACATTTGGATTAAGTGTAATCAATATGCTTTTTTCATGTTAGCTTATTGTCTAACACAAATTCATTAGTATTTAAAGGAACTTACTATTGGAAGAGATATTAACTTAAACTTAATGACTTCTCCTGTTATCAGCCTGTGACGGGTATAAACCATCACAGCTGATTTATTTGCAGTGAGGGAGAAACCATGATCAAATAATAATACATCATCCGCGTACTGAATATACTTAATTGGTTGATCGAAGATCTCATGCAAGCTTGCCGTGTAAATATTGAAAAGAGAGGGACGGATCCTTGAGGAATACCCTGGTTGACAATTCTAGGGCCATGGCCATGGCCATGGCCTCTGATATATACTTTCCTGTTTCTAAATAATAATATTGGCAGAAGCTTTTTTATCAAAACCGTAATATGAGAGTTTTGTGTGTAAGATGTTCAAATCAACTGCGTCATATGCCTCTCTTTTAGATCTAAAAAGTACATGCTGTGTATTCAGTACAGGCGTCTAGAGTACCTTTAGACTTACGAAATCCGTACTGGGAACTAGGTAACAGAGAGTTATATTTAAAATACCATTCTAAACGACGTTTAATAATTCTCTCAAAAGTTTTAGCAAAACAAGATAACAGAGAAATTGGGTGGGAAGACAATGGATCGCTAGGGTCTCTCATAGGTTTAAGAATTAATATAACTACCACTTCCTTAAAAGATTTAGGAAGACTTCCTTGTAACCACCATTGATTATAAATTTCGACTAAGACACTTTTAATCCTCAAATACAATTGCAGTGCACTTGACCTGTTTTTTGTCTTCAAGTGTACTCACAGTTTCTAAGTTACTGCTTTAGTCAAAATATTTTTCTTTGGTTTATCCTCTAATGCCTCCACCTCAAATTATAGAAACCATCTCAATAAAGGGTCGTGGTATCGACAGAAAAGTATCGATACCCGATACTTAATAAGAGTATCGACATCTAGTATCGATATCTACTAGCATCGACATACAAAAGTATCGATTCTAGTAGAACATGATACTAAAAAAATATTTTTCAAATCAAAAAAAGATTATCAATGGTACAATAATCATCAAATCACGAACTTTTACTCTAAAAACAAAAGAAAATTGATTATACCTACTTTGGTACGGACTTTGGAGTTGGGTAATAAAAAGATTGATTTTAAGTGTTTTGTTTTTTTCGTTGGTTTATTTTTAACATTAGGTATACAAAAATGCATTTTATCACAATTGCATGTGACGGATTTTAAGACCTAGTAATATAGTACATTTTTCCATTTTTAAAAACTATTTCTAAAATTTATTAAGAGACAGTATTTTTTATTAATAATTATCTAATAAATTATTTATAAAAAGTGGACGATAACAATTATTTAAAGCTTAATAAAAAGTAGTTCTCACTATTATTAGAGCCGAAAATAAGCTTACAAGGCATTAGGAATGTTATATGATAGCGAAAATGGTCGAACAGTTAGAAATAATAGCATTTTTGGGTCTACCGTTATACAATTTAGGAAACTGAATTCTAGTATTATAAAACTTAAAAAAAAAGGAAATTATTTTAGTAACTCTAGGAAAAAAAAAAATGCAGCACAGCAAAAAGCTGTGTCCACTCTTAACTAAAGCAACGATCCATTCAATCAGTCAATTTTCTTTTCTTTCACAATTGACAAAATCCATTCTCAATTTTTTTGTTAATTATCTACATTGTTTAGGTACAAGAAAATTAAGTTTATTGTAGAAAGTGATTTTACATTTTTATAATTAAAGTCCACCAAAAAGTGTCCGTGATAACTATGCATGCCTCTGAATTAAATCCAAACCGACACTAAAAAAGAAGAACTGTGCACGTGAGTTTTTCCAAGGCCTACATTAGGTGAGTTCGGGCTACGTACTCTTTTCTCTATATTCACTCCTAAAGTACCTAAGGCGTTAGGGAACGGAAGAAGTTAAAATGAAAGTTCTTTTTTGGCCATTAGGAGATCGTGGAGTGGAGTGTGGATCGGGCATGTGTATAAGGTGATTTAAATCGATAATAAGATAATTGACTAATTCATAGAAAAATGCTTTTTATTTGGTTCCCGTGCATACCATTAATATGGAAGAAACTTATACCGTTGTTACTAATAAGTACGATTAGGTTTTAAGCAGAGATTAGGGACATAAAGATAGGAAACGCAACGACTATGCCTCTCAGATGTTAACTAAAAATATACGTCGTTTGTAGATGGACCAGTGTTGCCAAATATTTTTTTTAAGAGATTGTACAAGTAGAGTAGAAAAATTGTATTTCGAAAAAAAAATCTTACAACAGGTACATATATAGCTTAATATAGTTTAAATGGAATGAAAAAATAAAAAAGAAATTTGGCATGATAATTTATTTATCTATTTATAAAAATGTTTACAACGAAAAAAAAAAAACTAAAGAAAATACATGAAACTTTAAATTAACACATAAAGTAATCAATGACTGTCACTTGAAAGTGATTGAAATTTTGCATATAAGCTTTTCTTATGCCGTGATACTTTGTGTTGGT